GGGGGGATGGGTTAGCCTGGTGATGGGTATTAAAGAGGGCACGTACTGAAGGGAGCACTGGGTGTTATACACAAACAATGAATCATGGAACACTGCATCAAAAAGTAATGATGTAATGTATGGTGATTAACATAACATAATAAAATTTTAAAAAATAGAAAAAAAATTATTCTTTGTCTCGCATTCCATTTAGAACAAGTGATCTGTCTTGAAAGGGTTTGGATGATAATTTTCTATGGAATTCCTTTCAGTTAAGAATGAATGAACCATGGGTAACCGTGTGTGTGTGTGTGTGTGTGTGTCTGTCTGTCTGCATGCATGGTGGGGTGTGTTATGCACATGTGTGCCTGTATGCATTAGTGTGTGTGTGTGTGTGTGTGTGTGTGTGTTGTTTTCTCTTCTGTGGACTAAGGTAAGCCCTAACTTAGGCCCTGAGTCTGAATCTGCCCACTCTAATCCATTCTCTTCCTGAGGATCCAAACATGACCCTCTCCTGCTGCTGAGTGTCTTTGGCTCTCTTTTGCTAATAAATTAATTTCCAACTTCTAAGACAAGCTCAGAAGACCTTTGTACTCTGGTCTCTATCTGCCTTCCTTCCCTTATCTTTTGTCAGTCTTCCTATGCTCCTTATACTCCAAACATATAGGAATATTTTCTGTTCCCCAAATGTCACTGTTTGCACACATCTGAGTCAGGCACTCTATTCCTTCTCCATTCCTTTATCTGAAAGTCTTTGTCTTTAGTTCACTGGCAAGGGTAACTACTGTCCTCTGCTTTTGCTTCTAGTGTTGCATTTAGCTCATTGTTTTGCAATTTTTCATTTGCATATTTTTATTTTCTGCCTCTGGGATGAGAGTTCCTTGAATATGAAATTTCTTTTTTGGTTTTATTTTGTTATTGTTTTACTCATTTATAAATCCTTAGCACCTAGCACAGAAATGCCACAGAATATTTGCTCAGAAAAATATTTAAGAGATGGGTTTTCCCAGTCCAGATTGATATTTGCAATGTTCATTTTTTTAATAATCAAACTCACAAATTAGTTTCTATCAGCTTTCTTGTTCAGCTTGAAACTTTTACTCTTATAACTGGTTATAGATGAAATCTGTTCCCAACAAATAGGCTTAAGTCTTTCAATCCTTGGTTCCCTAGGGTCCTGGGATGTGCTTTGCATATGGCAGATGTTCAGTTACTATTTGCTGAGTACATTAATGAAACAAATCATCAGTAGTCACAAAGTGCTTTTGCATAAAGGGGACAGATAGACCGAAGGCCTGAATTATAGAGTTTAACATAAAAGTGTATCTAATCTGTTATACTTACATTGCAGATAAGAAAGTTAAGGCATAGCTGTTAGTGATAGAGGCAGGACTACCTATCCATCACCCTTTGGGTTATACCTTCTTGTCCCCCAGATTCAATCAGAATTTTACTTCTCTGAGTATATGTACTCCAATTAGGAGAAAAATCTGATTTTGAGAAAAATCTGGTTATGAATTCTCACCCCAAGTAATATTTGAATTGCTGAATTTAAGATCTAAATGACAATCTTAGACATCATTTGATAGTTTTTAATCTTTCACTGATTCCTGGGGCTCTGCTGTCTTCAGGATCACAGTGGAGCATGTGTAAAGGAGTTTATACAAGCCTTACTTCAAAAAGAGCTGCTCCTTTTCTGCCTTTCCTTTTGGAGGTCAGGCAGGATTTGTCAGAAAAAATAAAGTTTTAATATCTGTGGCATAGTTCACAACATTTTACCCTCAATTTATAGTTGAAGAAGTTAAAACCCGGGGAGGTAAAGAGACTTGCCCTGAGTCTAGTGTTCAATTCAATCAGAAAAAAATGGTACCATCACTAACATTTTAATTTTAACATTCATTTGAAAAACTCAAACTAATTTAAGCAAATCTATCTTGTAAATCAGGGGTCAGCTGACTACAGTCCAGAGGCCAAATCCAACTCAACGCCTCTTTTTGTAAATAAAATTTATTGGAACATGGTCACACCTACTTTTATACGTATGTCTATGGCTGCTTTTCACCTCAACAGTAGCATTGAGTAGTTGCAACAGAGATTGTCAGAGCCTAAAATAGTTACTATCTGGCCTCCAGAAGAAATGTTTGCTAACCTTTGGTTTATATGATCTCCAAACCACCAGGGAATTAATACATTCATTCAGTCAACCAATAGTTAGATCTACACATCAACAACCAATGTGAAGATTTTTCCCACCCACTGCACGTGGCTCACCCCAGGACTCCACCCATTAACTGTGTTCTCTGTTCTATCCTGTCATTGGTATTTTGCAGTGTGGAGACTAAACTTTTGTTAATTAAAAATTTAGGGTATGTGTGCAAATCAAGCTGTACAATGACATTGGGTACTCACTGTATCACCTTCAGAAAGGAAAACTAAAAAACTGAACTTTACCTGTATCTGTAGACCTCACAATACCAGGGCTGCTGCTTCACGTAGAGAAATGCACAGATTTGCACAATGCAGGTGAAACAGGTGTTCAAAAAGACTGAGAGCAGCAAAGGTGGAGAGAAGAGCTGTCCTGCTGGTCGGTAAGGAGCCAGCTTTGGGTAGGCATGAGTTGAACTCACTGAAAAACAAATGCATTTTCCCCTCTTACAATTTCATTATTGACAGTAAAAGATTGAGATGCCTATTATCTCAAGACTTGCATTAGGGTTCAGATGCAGCAAACATGAATGAGGGTTTACATCCAGGTAAGCACATTGCCTAGGTGCATATCCAATGTTACCAGCCTTTGCCTCTTCCATGCTTTTGTTTCACCTTCAGAAATGAAAAGTAATAGGTTTAAAAATTCTGTTAATTATACATTTACCATATTTCATGGTGCAAATATTTTCTTCACAACCACACTGACCAGGAATGGTGTATAAAATAGAAAGGTGGCCTTCTACATGGATAAGCAATACTATGATCTCTCAGTGGTGGTGGGAAGGTGGAGAGTTAAGAAGAGGAGAGTAAGAGACATTAGGCTAGACTAATCTTCATATGCTGGGGATTTTTTTTAAAAACACTCATTTTATAATTCATTCAGCCAACATTCTCTGAGTACTTCAGTGTACCCGGATAGATGCTAGAGGTGTGTTCTGTTCCATCCTGAATAAGTGATAAATGGAGAACTGCTAGAGCACATTACACCTGGTCAGGAAAAATAGCTCATAAAATAATCTCGCTTCCAGATGAGAGTGGTAAAATGTATTATAATTTTGATCCTAGAGTTGTTTTTTCTTTTTTAACTTAAAGGATTGGCAATGGGTGGAGATTAAACAGAACAACTACAAAAAAAGATGACTGCATTCTTCTTAGAAGCCATATATTCTAACAAGCTGATGAAAATGGTATGTACTTTACTTCTTAGGGCAGCACAGGAAAGAGGCATGGAAAGGTCAGGAATTAGATACAATGCATTCAAAGGTTTACATTATAGTCAGGTTTCAGTTTCTTGTCTTTATTGCCTTTTCCTCTTTTATAGCTGATCACTGGTTTCTTTGAAGTAAGGAAGAAAGTAGGGTGCATATGCTTAGGTTTGTGTTCATGCATGTAGGGGCAAGGCAGTAGGAGCAGGTGTCCAGTTTGGGATGATATCACTCTAAAGTCGGTCTTCAGTTTGCTCAGTGGGTTCTTGGCTAATCACGTGAACTCTCTGGTACTTCATTTTCTCATGTATAAAGTGAATGGGTAAGAATGTCTAAGTGGTCTCCAAAGGCTCTTCCAACTCATTTACTCTAAAGCTCTATAACTATCTAAGGCTTTACTTTTACCAATTTAACCAATGTTTCCCTAGGAGGATGCTATGCTATAGGCCATGGGGTATTCAGAGATGAGGAGGACATCTCATCTGCCCTGAAAAGCTTGAACTCTGATGGAAAAACACAGATGGGTTATGTAATAAAGAATTTGGCCGACTTTTTTTCCTAGTTCCTGGGATGTATTCTCTAAATTGTTGGAATTTCTTGAGTTGATAGAAGTGTCTTTTTATTCATGGTAACCCTGATGGTTTATGCAAACAAGATGACAGATGGTGGGCCCAAAGAAAGTTGGTGATAAAGTGATGACTCAGGATGGAGCTGGCCATGCTGCAAAAAAACTAGAGATTGAGATCAACTTCATGGCCAGTGATTCAGCCAATCATGTCTACGTAAGGAAAATCCAATAAAAACTCTAGACAAGACACCAAAGTTCAGGTGAATACTGCACATTGTCACCATGGATGTGCCAGGAAAGTAAATCAAACTGACTCGCCAGGAAGAGGACAATGGAAGTGTTGAGATCCTCCCACCATGGGATCCATTCACCAGACCTCACCCTGTGTGCCTCTCCCTTTGGCTGGTTCTGATTTGTATCCCTTTACTCTAATAAAACTGTAATCGTATGTATAGCACTTCACTGAATTCTGTGAGTTGTTGATCTGAATTACTGAACCTGAGGGGAGAATGAGAATCCCCAAGTTTGCAGCCAGCTGGTCAGAAGTGTGCGTGGGACCCCCAAACTTATGGCTGAGTTGTGAAGTAAGGACAGTCTTAAGGAAGCTGTGCCCTTAACTTGTGAAGTTTGGCCTCACTCTGGGTAGTTAGTGTGAGAAGTCATTGCATGGCATGCAAGGAAGGGGCACACAGTGTGACCTTTTGTCAATGCAAAGAGACTGTGCTCTGGCCACAGAAGGCAGAGGCTGCCGAGCTTGGAGTTCTTTTCATGTTCTTATACTCAAGGAAGAAGATGGCTACAGAGCACATGAAGAGGCTGTGGGTGATGGAGAGAGGTGCAATTGTATCTCTGTGCATTTGGCTCTACCTCTCCAGTCCTGTCTTTCTCAGCTGCTCACTGAGTTTCTGATTTTTTTTTACCCGGAGACTACACTGGGTTGAATTATTGGCCTCATTGTGGTAGAGTGCACTTTACCACCCTTTAATTTTGGTTTCATTGTGTGAGTTTTCTCAGGCCAAAGCAATGTTAGCTGAGGTTTCAGGTCTGCTTGCATAGCCAGGTTCACTCTCTGTGATCATAATGAGAGCATGCCCAAGTCTGTCATTCCAGCCTGGCTCCAGAGTGAAAAATGTGGAGCAGACCTGAATGAAACCTATAGCCTGGACCAAGACAAACTGATCTACACCCTAAAGCCAATCAGTTTCAGCTGACCTAGATCAGCTGAATGACAGTCTATCTACAGAGCAAGAGTAGCTATTGTAAGCCACAGAATCTGGGGGAGAGGTTTGATATACAGTATTATAGTGGCAATAGCTAATTGATGCAGAGTCCTTACATAACGAATATTTTAACTCTTTCCATATTAGAAATTCTAATGCTTTCTGATAGAGAATCTGAATATCTGACTATAAAAAAATGACTAGCATTTTAGGGCCCCTACTATGTTCCAGAGCCTCTGCAAAGTGTCTTACAAACATTATTTCTTTAAAAAGCAATGCAAGGGGCACCTGGGTGGCTCAGTTGGTTAAGCATCCAGCTCTTGATTTCCACTCAGGTCATTTATCTCAGAGTTGTGAGATTGAGACCTGCCTCGGGCTCCATGATGGGCATAGAGCCTGTCTGGGATTCTCTTTCTCTCTCTCCCCCTCTCTCTGACCCTATCCCCTGCTCATTCTCTCTCAAAATAAAAATAAATAAATAAATATTTTTTAAAAAGCAATGCAAAACAGGTATTTCATATCTATTTTACAGGTGAAGAAACTGAGGTTCAGAGAAGTAGGGTTCCTTGTTTAAAGACCCACAGTTTGTGAACAACAGGGTGGTAATATAAACTTAAGTCTGTCTAATTGTAAAGCCCCCTGTTCTCTGTTCTACAGCACATTGCAGTAGTGTAGATTTCATGAATTAAAAAGGATAAAATGAGGAGCCCTAAAATGTAAGCTTGTTATTTCTCAGCAGTCAGAACCTTTCCAAATTGTCCAGGTTTCCTTAAAATGGCGATGATATATGCTATCATACTACATGCAGAGGAATGTAAGCTTGTGAAGTGTATATCTCATTCAGAATTAAGCATTCCCTCCTCTGAGTTTCCACAGCCCATTACTCATTTTGCTGCTATGTAGTGAGGATGTCTTGCATTAAATCCAGTCATTTATACATGCACTCAGCAGACCATGAGCTCCCTGAGGGAAGAGACCCTGTCTCATCCCACTATCTGTTCCTCACTGGACCTGGTACAGGGTCTGCTATGTAGGAGGAGTTAGCAGTTACAAATTTTTATTTTCAAATATACTTTTTAATTGTTCAGCATAATTTGGATATAATGTAGGCATGCTTTTCCTAAATAGTTGGCTTGCTTTATATAAAGGACATTTCAAGTCTTGTACATCAAATTTCCAGAGGCTCCAGAACACACCTAAACTACATGCAAAATTTTAAATGTGCCTCATGAGATTTTTAAGGTGAAAAGATCTATATCATCCATGAGATTCTCCAAAGGGACCAAGACCCAGAAAAGGTGAGGAGTCTTTGAAGCACTGATGGAATTTATGTAAGAGAGGCATTTATATAATGGATGGGTTTCCTCCTACAGCCTTCTTCTCTGGACACTGCCTCCTTCCATATGCTGAAGTGGTTGGCCTAAATAGAGCTAAATTACATGACCTCATCTTTATTTACAGAAATAACTGACTTAGAAGTGGACATTTTACCCAAGTTAGGTCAATGAATTTTCTCTCCAAAAGATTTGCAAAGGAGACACTGAGAGGCTAAGCTAATTAGCTGTGCAAAGACCAACAGAAAGGTTATGGAAGTTCAATAGTAAAGTCACCATTTAGGGTCATTTGCAAGGTGAATGAGTAGAAGTCACACAAAAATAGTAAGAATAGGAAGAAGAAGAAAGAGATAAGATGGCCTCTTAGAAATAAAAAAGGTGGCCTTTGTTTTCCACTCTTTAGTGCTCTAGCCCTGCTCTGGCCCCTGGTGCTTCTGAGTTTCTATTCTCAAATTTTTTCTTTTGAGAATTATATTCTTAAACATCCCCCTACTTCTTTTTTCTTGATCTAATTTGAGGGGGTTTTGTTAAAAAGAGTAGAGATGCAGCTAGAACAAATTCCTTTTAAAATGGCCTCTGTACCTTTTAGGGTCAAATTGGGCTTTAAGACATCCATTTTCTTAATTGACTTTCCTGACTTCATTTTACTTTTCTCCTTGATTTCCCTTTAACATATTATATCTTGTCTTATTAACTGCCTTTGTGTTGCCTTAAAATCTTGTGGGAACAAACAGGGTATATACAGATAAACAAGTACATAAATTAATTAAATACATGATGGTGTTGTCTTTGTCCCATACTAATTCAGACTTGAGATCAAAAGCCCTAATCTGAGAACCTGGAAAGGCAGGCGCCTTGATGAAAGTGGTTTTACATTGATCGTCCATTGTCAATGACTACTAACATGCACAGATGAATATTCACAGTTCTCAGCCTGGAAGTCAAGTTCTGTGATCTGACCCGACTCACCTTTTCAAATTTTATCTCCTGCTTCTTTTCACATACCCTACAGTGTGGTCGAATTGAAAAACTCATGCCCCAACTCTCTCTTGCTCATGCTGCTTCATTCTACTTCAAGTACCCTTCTCTTAGGAAAAGATTTTTGAAATCCATCCATCTTTTCTATTTTGATGCAAATGTTACTTCTTCCATGAAGCAATCCTTAGTATTTCTCTCTTTTCTCCATTGCTATCTCTTTCCTAACCACAGATTTTCAGAAATGATCTCTCCTTTCTCTGAACTTCCCAAAGCACCTGTTGTTTTCTCTCTCACTCTCACCAAGGTGCCTGCCTTTCCAGGTTCCCAGATTACAGCTTTTGACCTCAAGCCTGAATTAGCGTGGGACAAAGACAACACCATCATGTATTTAATTAATTTATATACTTGCTTATCTATATATATATATATATGTCTTATTCCCACAAGATTTTATAATCTCTCCTTTCTCTGAACTCCCAAAGTACCTATTGTTTTCTGGCACTCACTACTTTTGACTTGCATTTCCTTCATTCATGTATGTGAAACCCCCACTAAACTGTAAACTTCAGCGATCAGCCTATTTAGGCCCCAGACACCTATGTGCCTAACATATAGTAGGAAAGGCTTTTCCTTTGTCTGGGTCTTTTCTTGCTAAGCCTTATACTTGAGGACCATGAATGGCAAATGCCAACTGAATTAAAAGAGAGATGACTGCCATATCTCCATTGTACCCACTCAGAAGGATCCATATTGGTCCTTCAACTATAAGCATGCCCCAGCCCCAAGAAATTACCTATGTGCAGAATATATAAAATTATAGAAATTATTAAGAGAGTCTTTAAAGGGAATTACTAAGAGCAGCGAGAACTGTGGTTTTCTTCCCAGCATCACTCCAATCCAAAATGAGGGGAGGTCGTAAGAACCGCTCCAGGAGATACCTGAAGTATTTTGGGAGGTGGGGATTGGCTTGCTCATTCCGGTTGCAATATCAGAGGGAAAAGACAGAGGGCAGCAGTGACAGCAAGCTACATCTACTATATGGTAGGTCAGGTAGAAACTATGGAAATTAGCCAGGCTAGAGTTGTTTTGGAAAGAATCTGCCCAGTGGGCAGTCTGCTGGGACTAGAGGGCCGAACAGTTGAAAAAGGCTTCCCTAGAAGGCAGTTGCTGAGAGGAATCCTGAGGAGTGAGAGGGAGAGAGCACCACCCATGTCAGGGAGTAGTTTAGTCCAGAGTAATTCACAGGAATCTCTGAAGAGCCCAAAAACTCACCAGTGAGTCCCATGCCAATTTGAATCAATGATCTTGCTTTTGCAATATTGGATATTTTTAAGCAATTTGTATGATTTATTTGTGAACATGAATTTTAGATGCCTGCCATGCTAGAGGGCACTTGACAGGATAGAACTACAATACCCCCACATAAGTAAAAAGTCATTTGCTCTTGTTGCTTCCAAATTCCCTGAAGCAAGAGTGGAGAGTAGGCAACACAAGGAAAGTAGAGACCATGACCTTCTCTCCCACTGTTAGCTCCAAGGTCAGACTTGATCTAAAGGAAGAAAAAGTCTGAACTGGATGAAAAGATGAAATGTTAGTTTAAATGTCTAAAGATGAGATCATTTTAATACCTGATACTGACCAGGAAATGATCTGCCCACGGGATGACTGAGTTTGCAGTGATGGAAAAACAACAGTGTTTGAAGGCAGAGGTTAAAAAAACACTGAGGCGCCTGGGTGGCTCAGTCAGTTAAGCATCCAACTCTTGATTTCATCTCAGCGTTGTGAGACTGAGCCCCCCATCAGGCTCCGTACTCAGTGTGGAGTCTGGGGCTTGAGATTCTCCCTTTTCCTCTACCTCTGCCCCTCCCCACCCCGGTCTCTTTCAGTCTTTCTCTCTCTCTTTCTCTCTCTTAAATAAATAAATAAATAAATAAATAAATAAATAAATAAATAAATAAAATCTTTTAAAAAAATATCCCAAACACACTGCCCATATTTTTGGATTTCTAATCAAACTATCTACTTGTACGCAGTCTAATTCTGTTCAAGGGCTCACTGAGTTTGCCAGTCATTTCGAAAGAAGCAAAAGAGAATAGGCTCAAGGTGATAGCATTCATCTTGTGATGAGTGCTTACAATGGGTGACACACTGCTGTACACTTCACATGCATTGTTTTATCTGATCCTCTCAACCCCCTGAGGACATTTCATATCAGGAAATTATTTCATAAATAGTTTGCCAAAGTTTGCAGAGATAGGGAATGGGAGAAAATGGCCATGGCTTTCACCTTCATGCTACTGCCTGCTAACTTAGCTCCTGGAACTTCCTGGTGTTTTTTTTTTCTTTTTTTAGTATCATCAACCATGTTCACAGGTAAATCATACAAATTGCTTAAAAATATCCAACCTTGCAAAAGCAAGATCTTTGATTCAAAATGTTCTAGTCATGTGACTATTAATAACACACAGAAAAATATGTTAATGGACTACAAATATACATTTCAGCCCGAAGAATTGAAACTGATGTTACTTACATCTCTGATGCTGGTAACTTCTGTCATTGGGTTGATACAATAAATGACTTCAATATCAGTTTCATGTTTTAAGATGTTACATGAAATTCTCAAGGTTATTAATATCCTGCATTGCCTGATGTTTTATCTGTTAGTTTTCATAACACTTCCATTGTTGAACAAGGAAAAAGAGATGACTATGTCATTCTTTTTCTTTGCTCTCTGTTGAGGCAGTCACCTTTCTCACTTATTAAGAGTTAGTATGAAACCCTGAGTTCTTTGATAGGAAATACTTTATCAGTGTCATCTCAAAGGAAGGAAATGAGCAATAGCTGCTGTGAGCCACACCTTGCTTTTGAGAGAATTCCTGGAATTAAATGCTAGCATCTGTTCTCACATGTCAAATACCTAGCAAAAATCTGGTTTCATGTCAATGTGAAGAATAGCTAAATAATAGAAAGTGACCTTTGGGTTTTAAAGATTTCCCTTTCTAGATTTCCTATACATTTTTCTATGCACAAGACACACACCTATGAAGAACTCAGAATACACTGATCATTTTATGAGGCTAAGACCTATTTGCTATCAGGATATTTTAGTGCCAAATCTGAGGACTTCAAGCCTCAACTTACTCCAACCCCTCTTTCAAAAAACTCACAGGTAATGTGGTTTTAGTAATAAAGGTGCATCTTTCACAGAAGCTTTGATTTGTGTGAGTATTTCTAGAGTGTAATGGATAAATACAAATAATTCTGTTTACTTTGCTAAAACACTTACTTGTTAAACAGACCATCAAGGTAATGGCTACATCTTGCATGAGATACTGGTAATTCCCAAAGAGCTGTAGTTGCTGAAAAGGAAATAAAGGTAAATATAAGGGGACGCCTGGGTGGCTCAGTCAGTTGAGCATCCAACTCTTGGTTTCGGCTCAGGTCATGATCTCAGGGTCATGGGATCAAGCCCCACCTCGGGCTCTGCACTCAGGGCAGAGTCTGCTTGAGATTCTCTCTCTCCCTTGCCCTCTGCTTCTCCCTCCCCATGCTCTCTTTCTGTCTCTCTCTCTCTAAAAATAAATAAATAAACCTTGAAAAGTAAATAGAAGAGTTGCTTCTGCCATTGTAGCATTGTTATCATTGCCAAAACTCTTTCTGAAAGTAATCAGGAAGCAACAGTTATTTTTCTTTCCTCTTTAAAAAGAAAGTAATTTACCTATGATTTTTAGCATCTCACTGGAGAGAATGAAACCAGATCACAATTTTCCCAGTGTTTAACTTAATTCCATATTAGCAATGAGAGTCAGTCAGTTGGGAAACACCCTCTTTATTGGCCACAGTAATCTGGCAGCTACACTCTCAGCCTGGACAGCTGAATTCTCGAAATGAGATACCCACTGGGAATGTCAAGCATAAAATTTTGAAATCCAAGCCACAAATCATTCAACAGGTATTGCTCTCCATCCTTATCCAGAGGCTGAGTTCACAATATCGTTCTCTTGGGGTCCATTCACTTTCACAAACTGAACAAGTACCTCTACCCCAAGTAATCCCATTACAGACTTCAGTCTGGTACGCTTGACTTCCTAAGGTTTGTGTAGACACAGAACTTGTTTGAAGTTCACATTTATGGAGTCATATATAAAAGTTAACTTGTTACCTCCAGAAACTTGCTTGGCAATACCTGTTGCAGGCAGCTCTGTTTCTCTGCTTCATAGCTGCTGACTGAACACTAAGTTATGATCTGAACCATTGGAGACCACCTTTAAGCAAATGATAAATAGTTCTAGATTTTTAGAGTATGAACCCAAGGCCCTGAAGTTTTTGATTAAAGGTCTCTGCTGTGGGGAGGGGGGTGGGGAGGGCACCTGGGTGGTTTAGTTGCTTAAGCGTCTGCCTTCGGTTCAGGTCATGACCCCGGAGTCCCAGGATCAAGCCCCACGTTGGGCTCCCTGCTCAGTGGAGAGTATGCTTCTCCCTCTGCCCCTCACCCTGCTCATGCTTGCTCTCTCTCTCTCAAATAAATAAGTAAAATCTTTAAAAAAAAATAAAGGTCTTTGGGGGACACTCTTATTCAGGTCTAGACCATCAGAGTGAATGGCTACAGAGTGGCCTATCTCTATGTGAACACAACTCTATGCATGAAGACTTCGGAACTGAGAAGTCTTTCATAGTTTTGAGAAGACATAAATTGTTCCTCATCCTCCATAAATGGTTCCCCAAGGTTCTCACCCTCCAACTCTCTCTCTGTCTTCTTTACATTTCTTTCTCACACCCTTTCCTTTCTTTTCCCCTCAGAATGGTACAATTATACGTATGCAGATGAGATGGAACAGGGAGAAATTTTCCAAGGCAGCTTTAGTTTTGTTCTAGAAGCAACTTTCCTAGAACTATGGAGAACTTGGGAAGTCTGCCAGGCTGACATCCCAGAGGCACATAAGGGCTTGGCCAAGGGCAAGATCTAAGGTGTTCTTAGTGATAGAGGCAGAACTTGAATCTAGGTTTTCTGACTCCCAACGCAGTTCCTGTTTCTATCTGCCTGGTTGCCGCTTAGCCCTCTGTGCGAGATTCTTGCCCACAACAGCCCACCAGATGCTAGAGTTCTGTGGTCCTCTCGTTCATCTCTCAAATGTCTCAGAAAAACAGTATAATAATTGCCTCCCTGAAGTGTTCCCTGAGCCTGTTGGATCATCTCACTGTAGAGCAAGTTATGACTGAAATAATGAAGATTACTTTCAAGTTATACATATTTCTTCTATATAGTTAATTTTAAAATGATTATTTTTATCATTTAATTTCAAAAGTCCTTTTTTTTTTAATTTTTAAATAAGGGGCGCCTGGGTGGTTCAGTCAGTTAAGTGTCTGCCTTTGGCTCAGGTCAATATTCCCGGGGTTCTGGGATCCAGTCCCACATCGGGCTCCCTGCTCAACGGGGAGTCTGCTTCTCCCTCTTCCTCTGCTGCTCTCTCTCTCTGTCAAATAAATAAATAAAAATCTTTAAAAAAATTTTTTTTAAATGCTAATCCTTTACTAATGACATGTCTAAGTGTGTAAGTTCTGGGCAGTTTCAGCAGTAAAGTTCCAATATGGGAATTCTTCTAGTTTTTGAGTGCTTCAAGATCAAATTCAAAAACTTCTGTTTCTTTTTACCTCCTCTTAGTCTTTTGTCAAAAATATTCCATAGCTGGAGACTGATGCATTTCCTGCTGAGTTATATTTAGGCTGTTCTGAAGCTCTCTTCATACTCCAAGTAAAGAAATAGACTCTTGAAGAGGTCAAGTATCTCAGGTTATCTAGAAAAAAAACAACACTCCTAGAAAACTGATCCCTAGCTACTTATTTCTAGCTCCATGTGTCATGTGCAGTTATGCCAAGTTCCCAAGTTTGCAGACATCTATTTTGAGAAATGTCATTTATTTATAAAACATTAAATCCTGTGTAAGAGCCACACCCCAAAGAATAAACCAAGAATGTAAATGCAACTAAAACTGGGAAGAAATTATTTAGGTTCATACCCAATAGAGCAGTGAGGTACCAATAAACTGGATTATGCCATACATGGTCAAGTATTTAAATACCCCAAAGGATGAAACCAGAGCAGCTCGGCCTTCTCTGTTTGAGAAAAAATAAAAATAACTGGTTATGGATGATATACATTTCCTACTCTCTTTTATATTTCAAATGGAGTTCAGTTTAATAGCTTGTTCATATACCTTCACTTAATCAATGATTCATCCTCTCAATTATTTATTGAAGCGAAATTTGCTCATTCATTCTCTGCTTTAATCATGACCTCACTCACTGACTCATACCGCACTTTTATTTAGGGCTGATGAAGTACCAGCATTCTGCTTAGAGTCGTGGAGGATATAAATGAATCAGGCACAGTCTTCATTTTCAGTGAACTAAAAAGATTAACATGGATATTATAAACACAAGACATCATGATAAGGTGCAAAATGTCGAGCTTTGACTTGACTGTGACTCGTTACGTCCTAACAACAGTTGCTTCTGAGAACTGAACTGCGTACGTTTTGGAGTCCCGCAGAGACTTCAAGAGAAAGGACAGGTGTTCTCGCATGTTAGGAAGCGTGGATGTGACTCCAGTATGTGAGATGAATGTGGTTTTGTTAGTTTCAATGCTCCAGGAAGAACCCATGGTAATAATCTGAGCTGGGGTGGAGTTCAAAAGATATAAAGACCACAGTAAAAACTGCAGGTTAAAAAGTCAGTATTCCCCCTTTTAAAAAATGCTGTTTGAGCTGTTATTCCCTTAACTGAGGCTTGGTTCAGGCAAGGGGTGATGACAGGCAAAGAAGACAGTGCAGAGCAGGAACTCACTATGGATGAGTGGGGAAACCTGGCAAACAACCCCTCCTGTAGCCTCTCTTGTCAAGGCAGAAGTGAATTCGCATGGGAGGCAGCCCACGTCCTCCCCCGGTGGCACGGACATCTGTGCTGCTCAAACACTTTGTCAGTGGATGGGGTACCCAAGAAGGAAAACCTTAAAAGCCAAACTAGTAACCGCTTCCCCTCAGGCATGATGAACAGGTTTGGGAGAGATGGGCCAGGATGCGTTGGCCAGATGTTTTCCACCAGGCCGTGAGGCACTGCCATTTGTTTTCAACGCAGAGACTGGAGCAGCACTCAAGCTGAGGAGGGGCCAGCATGTGAAGCCTGGACTGATTTCTCACATAAACTTTGTGGTTTCATCTTTTTTATCCTTTTGTGTGTGCCTTTCCAGAAAAATGAAAGCACCCAAATTCAAAGGCAAGTGCAAAAAGCCATTCTGAGGAAAGTATAAAGGAGGTCTGCACGGGCCTCCAAAATTACCGCTATTCCTAATGATGATAAATTTTAAGAAGCTAACTCATGTAGTTACGCATTCCACAACCATTCATTGAATGTTCTGATGTACCCAGCTTAGTACTGGACACGATAATATAGAAATGAATGAGGTACAGTCCTTGTCCTGAAGGGCTTCAACTAGAGCAACAAGTCAATCATGTTTCAAAGGATACAAACGAGAACCTGTGGATCTATGCATCTAAAACTGTACCTCAATGCCCCATCTGGAGTATGTTTTCCCAGGAATAAGCATGCATCAAGGATAGCAAGGGTAAAATGAGACTAAAAGAGCTGAATCATATCTAATTTTTATGAATCTATGAAATATAAAAGTCAAGAGCTTCTAACCTGAAGTCTTACTAAGCCATCTGCCACTAGAGAAATTTTACATCATGACTTGGATCTTAAAACACTACATTGCATTCACAAATGCATTAGGTCACATGTGTGAGACAAAACATCTGAAGTTCAAATGCCACTGCCTTTTGGTTGTATCAAGTAGGCACTTTGTGTAACTGTCCAAGAGTTTAAACTTCCTCCACACCTGGTGCTCCAGCTTACCCTCCATAACTCCCACCTGAAAAGCTTCCTACCAACTGGGCTATTGGGCTCCTGCACTCTCCAGTTAAAACCCCATTTCTAAACATGGCTCTCCACTTCCCCCACCTGGAATATTCTCCCACCTCCTTCCTATTTACATACATCCTGTCCATCCTTCAAGTTCCAACTCCCCTGCTGAAATCTTCCTTCCTGGCTTAAGTCATCAACCTGAACTGCTAGAACAACTACCATATTGTTTGGACATTAATGTATTAAAACTAATTTGTTGAGCACTTCTCAGTTATCAGGCAGAAGATTCTCCATTTTGTGACTATATTTCTATCTATCTGGACCTTTACTGGGATGTGAATCCTCCAGGGCAAAGATTTGTCTCATCCTTCATCCATCACATTTCCAAGCACAATATTTTAAAAAGTTCCATGAGTTGCGTTGATGATAGAAACCATGATCTAGGGAGAGGGTCCTGGGCACTCTCATTTTGTAGTTACCTTGATATGAACCAAAGTTAAGATAGTAGAGAGAGTAAGGAAAGGGCTTGGAGAGAGTCTTCGAAAGACAGATCAGGAAAACACAATGCCTGCTTGGCTATGGGCAAAGAAGGGAAAGAGTTCAAAGCGCTCTGAGGTTCTCAGGGCTCGGAGGACCAGAGAACACAGGAATTAGGAAAAGGAGCTGCTCTAGAGGCAGGGGAGGTGCTGATGTTTCAAGGTGTGGAAGGACACAGGTACGTGCACCCCAGGATCAGGGAGATGTGTCAAGTTGTCTCGCTGCTATGCAACCAGACACGGGCATGGAATTTCAAGACTGGCACCTTTAGGTGAGTGATTACTGCTAGTAGTTGCCCATTCAGATGCACAGATGCACCAAGGGACATGCTGGAGAACTTCATGATCATCCTTTTTGAATAAATCTCAAGTTTTGGTGACGTCTTTCAGACCACTGGCCATGAAGATAGACTGAAGTTACCCAGCAGTGTTATAGGAAGCTACAGGTGAATAAGATTTGTGAACAAAATATAAAACCTAATGTTTTGTTCTTAGGTACATTTCAAATATGAGTAGACACAAAATCAGCAATGAGAATCGAGGCGAGGTGAGGGAGCTACTGAGAAAATCAGGTCTTTAATTCCTTCCCCTTCCCTCGAATGTAGTCTTTCATGTGATCATTTTGGATATTCGCCGACTTGTATCTTGGAGAGGTAACACTATTTGGGGAAGCTATCTGATGCAGTGTTCCCTTTGTGCTTCCTCACCCACCCCAATCCCAGTGCGGAAGTTTCCACTATGCATCCAACATACAAAATAAGGGAGAGGAGAAGGAAGAAATGCAATTGGTTTTTAAATATCAACTCCACCTTTCAACTATCCACATGACTTCGCCTTTCATCCTGTAAGCCTCAGCAAAAGTCACTTTTTGGGTGGCTTTTACCAGCATTCCCAAGCAGCACGAATGGCCCCTTCATTGGTGCTCTGGTAGCACTTTAGCCATACCTCTGTTGTGAAATTTATCGCTTTAAATTATGGTTGAGTTCTGTCCACAGTCAGATAATGAGCCCATCGGTCATGAGGGTGGAAAGGGAAGAGGTGGCTTACTTTATGAGCTGAGGCACGCACTCGATGTTGGCTGTTTTTGAGGTGAAATGGGAGGCCACAGACGCCTCCTGCTCTGACAGCGAAATGCCCACGTGAGCCATTTTCAAAGCCTACAATGATAAATCCATGTTACACCCAGGACTCCTCGGGCCAGGCTCTAACTCTTCAAACACCATGAGGCTCTTCTTCACATTGTCGAGTTTATAACACTGTAGCCTTCCAGCCCCAGGTCTGTGCTTATGCTGTCCCTCCACCCTGGAGTACCCTCCCTCTCCTAATCCAGGAAGTCATTAACTAAGGAGGCAGCAGATAAACAATGATCCTGAGGTAGAAGAGTGGTGGGTGTGTTCTTGTGTGTGTGCATTGGTTGTGGGGATGTAGATGTCATAAGAAAATGGAAGCACTCATTCAAGAAGTCCATGAAAAAGGTGACAGCATTTGGGTGGGCATTTGTGGGGGGCCTTCCCTATCACAATTCTTACCACTCAGCAGGCCATCTTCATGAACGAAAGGAAAAGATATCTAATCCCCACTTTTCCTGGGTGGCCTGATCTAGCCAACCAGCTAACTGCTGGGATGAAGTACGGGGTGTAAAGCATCTTCACTGGAGACAGGGACCAGATTGTACACATCATAGATCATTCCAGGCCATGTGTTGCCTCACTAAAATAAAGGCTGATTCATTCTCATCAAGACTGGAAGCAGCCCAGAGAGTGCACAGAGCAGACAGTGGCTAATTAACAGACCAGCAAGTTCTTAATCCTACAAGAATTATGTGAGCATAAAATGGGATTTTGTACTTCTGTAGTTCTGTAGTACTGCAAAGTATCTTGTTACCATGAAATTCCTGTTCAATAAGTATTAGAATATTTGCTTTTTCCTCTTTTCTTCCTTAGTATTTTGTTTCTCTACTACATATTTTAGGACCATCTACTTTATGTTTGGGTTAATATTATGCAAGATTCTTTCCCCAACCAGATAATGAATTTTAGAGAGGCAGAGACTATGTCCTTTTTAACACTTATTAGTTCTTTTGTTCTAAATTCTACATAACTATGGGAATGGGTACTCATTTTAGGTTTTGAAGAGCAGACTAACAACTGGCTTCTCATGAAGCGTAAGGTAGAAAAATTTATAATAGATCTTTAAGTGTGAGCACAGTTTTTCACAGAACTTTGAAGAAAATATGTAAAAAGAAAGTAAAACAACTACCTAGATCTTAAGTATCTAATAGGCTTTGGAAATACAAAGCAATTTTCTTCAGTTTTGTACTGAAAATATTTTCTTATGTACATAAATTTTCAAGGTAGGCTACTGTTTCAACGTATCTTCAAAACTCAGAATCTAAAACATGTGCTGCCTTCTACCGTGTATGGGAAGTAATCTGCTGAGAATCATTAATTTAGGCTTGTTATAGTTTGTGATAGCCAAATAATTTGGTCTATGATTTCACTGATGGTAAGAATATGAGGTTAGGGCGCCTGGGTGGCTCAGTTTGTTAAGCGACTGCCTTCGGCTCAGGTCATGATCCCGGAGTCCTGGGACTGAGCCCCACATCGGGCTCCCGGCTCAGCAGGGAGCCTGCTTCTCCCTCTGACCCTATCCCCTCTCATGCTGTTTCTCTCTCTCTGTCAAATAAATAAAAATAAACAAAATCTTTAAAAAAAAAAAAAGAATTTGGGGTTAAAGCCAACTTTTAGAAACTAACCCTGGAGAAGTTTAGCAGGAAAAAAATGCAGTTTATACATAAATCAAAACTTTAAATCATCCATTTCAAATGTTTTTTTTCACTAACCCTTTACCAAGTTGTGTGACTTCAGGCAAAATAAATAAATAAATAAAAAGAAAAAGAAAAGAAAAGAAAAAGAAATAAGAATTCACCTCCCTGATTTTCACTTTTATTTGATAACATGAGAGATTTAAACCAGCTCATCTTGTAAAGTCCCTTCTGGGTCTGAGCTACAGGAGTCTAAGTAGTCTCCTTGTCCTTTTTATCCTAGGAGTTGTCAGAAAACAGCGGAAGTGGCTCATCCGGCTTTACACCTCTCAGCATTCAGCCAACACTCGGGTGTAGGGAATGTAAACAGCAAACTGATGAAGTGATTGCTGGCAGAGGGGTGAAGAGACAGACCCCGGGGAAAGGTGGGGTCCTCAAAAGGGACAGTAGGGAACCACCTCCGTTGGTTGAAGTCATTTCTACTCACCCCACAGTCATTAGCCCCATCTCCACACATGGCCACATAATAACTGTAAGGGAAACCATGAGAAAAATTAATGCCTCACTTGGATAATTTTCATCACAACCAACTCACATGCAACGTGTGTGTGTGTGTGTGTGTGTGTGTGTGTGTGTGTGTGTTTTGAACACACGTGGAATCAGGCTTATGGAAAATGACTTGGAGAGATATATTCCTGGAGGAATAAGGCCATTGTATTATTTAAATTGTTTCAATCACATAGAAAGGATAGTGATTCTGCCAAAGACGTCCACCAAGATGATTATACATTTCGAAAGAAGTCCTGGGTGATTGTATCGACTATGGCTAAATTTCAGAGTGTACAGCCATAATCACACACTTCCCACCCCTAGCGCACAGATACAACCTAATCCATCTGTGATTTGGTGGCTGACACCATTGAAAGTTTAGAGTTTAGACACTAGGAGGAGAAACGCGTGGGAAATGGTTGAACAGATAGAACCAGAGATATAGACACATAATCTTGATGCACCCTGGAGTGATATGAGATAATGTGCTGTACTGGTTTGATGTGCAAACACAACAATATAAATAGAAGAGTAAATATAAAGCTGTTGCGAAAGAAAAGGAATTTCTGATGCAGGACACACTCTGTCTTCTCTTATAGGTAAATAATACATTACAGGTATTGATTAATGGCAATACTATTAAAGGCTCAGAGACAATTTGCCAAAAACACACAAAACAACAAAATCAATACAGGCAAAAAATGAATTTCTCAGACAATTTCCTTATTATTAGTTGGCACATAAGAAACGATCATTTTTATAAGTTGAAAATTGTCAAATGTAAACAAACTCATGAGGTTCGACCTAATATTTGGCTGCTAGACATGAAGATCCCCCTATGAACATTTCATGTGCTCACGTGTGTGTCATGACTACACACATTTGCTGAAGTGGCTTCCTTTCTTCAAGCTTGAAGCACCTAGTTAGTCTTTACATCACACAAAGAATCTTACATCTTCTAGTGTTTCCTGACTGCAGGCAAGAACTTGGACAACCTTATGTGCATTGCCAGTGATAAAGGCAGAAGGAGTAAGATGGGGAAATTGAGAAGACAGTTCATTCTGAGGTAGCATCTATCTTCCTGAATTGATTTTTCTTTAAGGGAATATAGCTTTTCAAAAGTAAGCATATAAATTGACAAAATTTCTTAGACATTTGAGAAGGGTAAAATTACTTTCTTCAGCCACTATCATATAATGACCATGTAAGTAAAATAGTCATTTTAGACACCAGTTACTAACCCAGCCTCAATGCATTATGGGAGTTGATAGGCAGTTTCTTAAAACTTCTCTAAGAATGCTTTGGCAACAAAAAATAATAGTGAAAGTCAGTCTCCTGATTTTACCTACTACTTCTCGGCAATTATGTGAAGTTTCACTGTTCTCCTTTCCTTTTCACTTTCCAGAAATCTGTAGCCCAGAAATTGTAACATTCCCAGAAAGTTATAGGTAGGTCTGGTCTCAAGAACTATTTCATTCTGATGTGACTCAGTCATCTATACTTTTTAAAGGACATAAGAAAGGACTTTTTTTTTTTTTTTTGGCCTCCATACCCAAACCCAAGCAGGGTCAGATAAAGTGAAAATATCATTCCACCTCTTTCCTAGAAGACCTGAAATCATTCACATATCTTCTAATGGACCAACCTTAAATAATTCCAGATGATGACTCACATGCTTCCCCATTTTTCCTGTTCTGAACTACACAAACCCCTATTTTTTCTATTCTCCACATTCAAGCAAAGAATCTTCCTCTAAGTTATGCTGTAGAGGCCACAGAAGGAATGCTGTCTGGGGTAGACAGTTTCCAAAACGGCTCTCTGTGATCGCCACTTCTTGGTATTCATAATGTTGTATAAAGCACTTCCTTGAGTGTGGGCTGGACCTAGTGACTTGTTTCTCATAAAAATAATTTAGCAAAAGTAATGGGATATCACTTCTAAGATGAGGATATAAAAAATACTGATCTCTCTCTCTCTCACTCTATCTCTTTTTGCTTGCTCACTCTTGTGGAAGCTAGCTACCACACTGTGAACTGCCTTATGAAATGACCTATGTAGCAAGGAACTGTGGGTGGCTTCTGTCCAACAGCCAATGGAAAACTGGGACTCTTAGCCCAACCACCCACAGGATCTAAATCCTGTCAACAATATGCAAGAGAGGCTGGTGGCAGGCCCCTCCAACTCCAGTGCTGAGGGACCTGCAGTCCTGGCAGACACCTGATGGCAGCCTTGTGAGAGACCCGGAGCCAGAAGACTCCATTCAGCACACCTGGATTTCTGACCCATAGAAATGAAAAATAATAAATAGTGTTATTCTAAGCTACTAAATCTGGAGGTAATTTGTTACACAGCAATAGATAACGAATACACTCTCCTCTTTCAAGCAATAATACTTACTTTAATTTTTGAAATTCTTCAACAAGACTAGATTTCTGTCCAGGAGACATTCTTGCAAAAATGGTTCCATTCACCAGAATCTAAAGAGAAAAACAACTATTACAATAAGGTTAGGATGAAGTACACTTTTTAAATAAAAGAACAGCCCTGAAAATCATTCCTGGCCACTGTTTGAATATAGCCTTGGGCAGTACGTCATTAGCCCAAATGTCAGGACAGGGAGAAAGGGGACTTGGTGCTTTACTATTCAACTTTCACTTTCATCCCCCATCACAACGTTATGACTTCCTTCCAGGCCATTTTTCTGAGATGGGATAACCTTGAGTTAATAACTGGAAAGCAGCAGAGCATATAGGACAAAAATGCTTAAGGAAATATAGTTCTTTTTACTAAACACCATCTCCACAATTGCAGCATAGGTAAAGGAAAAGAAACAGATGAAGAGTGGAGAACCAAGGTTCTATTCTCAGCTCTGGTCCAACTAGCTGGGCAAACCTTCCACAAGGGACCTTACCTCTCGAAATCTCAGCTGCCCCAACTCCTCAAGGAGGAACTGCACTAACAGCTTTCTAGAAGCCTCTGGGGTCGAGATTCAATGGTCCTTGACTGGTAAGGCAACAGAATTTTCAAGAAACTGCTTACAGATGGTTGCTGCCCTCAGCTTGTGCTCCACTTATCTCCTTCACACTGATAGCACAACCCTGCACAGCACTGTTTTTAAATAGACACACAGAGGACAAGGTAACAAATGATTTTGAAAATAAACCATGGGCTTTTATTTCCTGCTGCTGTAATTTAAGAATCCAGACAGGACAGGGAATAGAGCTCAGCCTGACATTGAGTTGGTGGCTTTCAGAGAGGCTGACCCACAAAACAGGCAGCGCATTTGGAACTATTTGGAGATACTCCCTGCTGGGGAGGGAGAGATGGAAGAAGGCTGAGATTGGGCTGGCCATGAGGGCGAGGAGCTGGACCAGAGCTCAGACTCTGAAGAAGGGGTCATGCACATATGCAGGACCAGGTAGGGCTAGAGAACTTCTGAAGGAGCAGTGCCCCTTTGGGGATGTTTATTCCCCAAATCTGAGATAACCTCACTGATCATCACCTTCACTTCTCTCTTCTTTTTTGACTCACTAATTTGAGAGCAAAACAAAACATTTCATTTCACCAGTACTTACTTTTGGAAGCAAGCTGTTGAAATGCTGAAATATCACTTGGTATGATTTCCCACTCATTGCAAAATGGTAACAGCTCCCTCTTGCTCCATCAGGCACTGAACTGTTCCTAATGTTAAGGTAGGTTTCCTAAATTTAAAAGGGCATAGTTTCCACATGGGTTCTCAAGGAATGTCTCTGCTTTCCTGTGTTTTATGGAAGGAAGTGTGTTTAAATTACATAACGGTGGGAAGGCCAGCAAATACATAATGTGTAATTTGTCCATGGAACTTAGACTCAGATAAAGAAGACACTCCTAATGTCCTCCCCAAATTATATGAACATATGAGACATTGACAACATAATGCTTGGGATCTTGTCCTAGGAGATAATACATGTGATATTAGTCTACTAAGGAAATCCTTCCAAGGTACCAGTTAATGATTCCAAGGAAGAGTAGAAAACATTCTTTCCTTCTCTTTCTTCTCCTCTTCATGCAGACTTTTATTTCCTAAGATCTTTTACCATTCGTTCATTCATTCATTCACACATCATGCCCCAATTTCTTCCCTGTAAAATAGGCAGACTCCTTCTTTGGAGCCTAACTCCTTATAGCACTTGCCTTCTCCCCACCTCAACAGGTGACATGCTCCCTCACGGTGCCCAGCTCCTCTTGCATACCCTATGTGCCATTGCACCAGTTCGACTCCTTTGCTGAAACCCTTTCTCTCCTGCCCTCCACCTATCAGTGTGTCCCATCACTGCATTCTAGCCGCCCCTGGTCAGCCCCAAGAAAGAGCCCCAATGAATGCACATGCACTCATCATGCCAACAGCTGATCACGTTTTTTCATGCAACATTTCTCAGAGGTCCTTACATTAGTGTAAGACTCTGAGTTCAAATAGTGTAAAAGGTGAGAAATTTTTTTCATTAGAAGGATCCATCTGAGGGAAAGCATTGTTTTGGGAAGAAAAATATTTTGATGTGCTGAATTGGGAGGCAAAGAAATATACCCCTCCCTTTCCATCCCTCATTGCAAAACAGCCAACAAAAGATATGCTTAAAGCATTCCACATGAGGTAAGGACAGAATTCCTTTTGTTTTCACTGGAAAGCTGGAGAAGGAACGTGTGGTGGGAGGGAGCCAGAGAGGACGGGAAAGCCTGAGACTGTGATGTGACTTCTCCCAGCAACAACCAAAAATTCAGTAAAGGTATTACACAGGTGAATGGGTAGTGTGAATGGACTGTTTGTTAAAAATTAGCGAAGACCTGAGTTTTATCACATAGTGTAATTGAGGCAACATGCATTAACACAGGAGCAAGTGAGTTTGCAAGGAAATAAGCACCAGAAATCTGCTGAAAACATAGAGAGAGCTGCCATCTTTTACAGCCGATGCAATGGGGTTTGAGCCAAGTAGGGGCAAAGTCACTCTGTACAGTTGTGCAGTTTGTATACTGAACAAGTCCTACTCTACACTTAACAATCCAAGCGGCTGGTCAGTCTTGAGGAAGGGAGCATTTTTATAATTTACCACTTGGAGGACCATGTCCTTGAACTCACATGTAGGCAGAGGTGCTACATTTAGTGATGGGATGTCAGGCTGCAACTCATTTTCTTCACAAAATCATAGGAAGCTTGCTATCTAGAGAAGCCCAACACCTGTTAACTTCATGTCATGGGCACAGCACAATCTAAATACCCATGGATCTGGGTGCAATCAGACAGACTTAAATTTTATTTCCTGCTCTGCAACTTGCCAGTTGTGTGTCTTGGGTAAGCTTACCTTGCAGGGCCTCAGTTTTCTCATTTGCGAAATGAACAGTTTCACAGGCTAACTGTGAAAATCAAATGGGAAATATGGGTGTAAATCATTGGTTCTCAGCCATGACTGCATATCAGAATCTTGGGGAGAAAAGGGCTAGTGCAAGCTCCCAGCCCAGAGAGTTGGATTTAATCAATGAAGCCTTGACACTGGAAGCTTAAAAACTCTTCCAGGTGATTTCTTTGCACAGCCAGGGCTGAGAAGTGCCGGTGGAAATGCTAAATGCTTTCCAAACTGCAGAACTCTGGACAGCTGTGAGGGGTTTTGACCGTGGTGACTTCTAATGCTGAGAGAAGGCTGCTGGGACCAGGGCTATATGCCATCAGCGCAGGCCACCAAGGGGCTTTCTAACATTTGCTCACACTCTTCTCCAGTCCATTCTCTTGGTTCTCGACCAGCTGCCAAGTCACAGAGGCAGGAACAAAATTTTCTGGTTCACTGGCTTCGACAAGGATCACTTGGCTTCCTCTAGGAATCATTTCAGAATTCTTTGCCACAGTAATGGCTGTTTGAAGGTTGTCACCTAGATGACAAAGAGAGTCAGCTTGTTTTCTGTATAAATCTCTCAGCAGCCAGAACTGAGCTCTGCCTCTTCTGAGTGGCCATACCACATTGCTGGTGCTGTTTGGGGGCATTTCCCTCTATCTGCCTTATTTTATAACCATTTGGTGGGCGGAACCTCTTGCCTAAGCCTGTCTGTCCCTAGTGGTCAAAATCTATGTCTATATCTCCCTCCCACAATAGCATCATGTCCTGAACATTGCATATTTCCAAAACAAGCACGAATGAAGAAAGACATGGTTAAGCACTTTATGACAGATCTTCAGGAGACTGACAGCCCTGAGCAGTGAAGGTAACATAGGCCCATTCTCATAACATGGAACCATCCTTGGAACATGGATTATCATCAAGCAGAGAACAGAACACTGAAAGCTGAGCCATGCTTGCGTTGGATCAGCATATGCCATGCCTGCCCCACAGACCTGAAGGACAATCCAGTAGAGTCTTTACACCCTTTCCACAGAAGTCTCACTGAGGTTCCTGATGAGCACATATCTATTCTTGTGTTTAAACATTTATGGTGAGCTGACTGGCACTGTGCCAAGCCTGGGTAGGGAGAGGGGACATTAGACATAGAGAATGAAGTATTATCCCTGCTACCAAAGCTTATGGTCATGTTAGGGCTGCTGCTCATGTGCCAGGGTAATGGGAGCCCAAGGTAATAAATGACAGCTAAGCATTTTTCCTTTTCCCTCAGCCACATGAACCCACTCAGCTCACATGGTCTTTTCTCATTCCTGGGATACATTGAATGTGTCAAGCCTCCAGAAACACGCACCAGTAATCATCACCGTCCTGATGCGGGCTTCACTCAGTTCCTTCAAGACTGGTTTGGTTTCCTTTTTCAAGCGATTCTCCATTATGAGAAGTCCCAGAAATGTCATCTCTGACTCTGCCTTCTCTCTTTGGATTCAGGAGAAAATCAATTTTAAAACTTATTTATGTAGTCTTGACAGTTGAACTTTTATTTTTTCCTTTTAAAAAAATTTCTAACTTTTATCAACATAATGCATGCATATATTTTAAAAATCAGAAAGAACCCAAAGCTTGTGATGAAAACCAATAGTCCCTATCTCCACACCCCCTCACCCCTTCTCCTTCCCAGAGGCAACCACTTCTATATCTTTTGGCAACTTCTCCCAGTTTCAACTCCATTTTTAAAAACAATGTGCTTATCTACCAATTCTTCTGTTGGTTTTTAAAACTTTTGTTAATCTTATATATATATATATTATTTCAAAGACCTTTTTTGACCTTGTAATCATTTTAGTTAGACATTGATTAAGTATGTACTGCATATGAGATACCATGGTAATAGTCGGATATGGAATCATTCATTTCAACCTCCAACCGTAACCTTCAGAAAATACATGACATCAACCGATCATTTGAAAAGTGTTCAGAACTTGAAATTGGAAGCTTCCTGACTAACTGGGTTACATTCATTATGGGGAACCTCTCCTCAGGAATGGAGTAAATGTCAGGTTACTTTTTAAAAAGTAAATGTGGGGGCCAAGATCTCCTGCTTAATCTCGCATTGTTTCTTTTTCTGTCCAGAGAGGAGTTAAGATTACAGAAGGAGAGGGAGACCTAGGGATCTAACCTTGCTGTGTACGGTCAATCAACCCCGATGTTGGGTCCCGTCCCACCTCCATCTTCCACAATATGTGACAGAGCTGAGTCTCAGCCTCTCAGGTTCCACAAGGTGAAGCAACTTCCCTCTCCCACCATCTCTCTCTCTGACATGGTGTAGACTATGCTTTTTCCATCTGCTGATTCAGTTGCCACTCCCCCCCCACTTCCTTCACATTTTAGGGAAACACAGAAATCTCTCATCTGCATTTATCGCTTGTCTAGTTTTCTTTGATATTGTTTCTTTTCTATCATGTTGGTGAAACTTGGGAGAAAGAGGAAATAAACACATGGTCAGTAAACCTTCTTTAGGAGAAAGATCAGAGATGGATTTCTTGGTGAAAAATATAACTCAAACTTAGATGGGAACATGGTAAAGAAACTTCTCTCTGGGGGCACTTGGGTGGCTCAGTTGGTTAAGTGGCTGCCTTCAGCTCAGGTCATGATCCCAGGGTCCTGGGATCGAGCCCCACATCGGGCTCCATGCTCAGCGGGAAGCCTGCTTCTCTCTCTCCCACTCCCCCTACTTGTGTTCCCTCTCTCCCTCTGTCAAATAAATAAATAAAATCTTAAAAAAAAAAAAAAAAGAAACTTCTCTCTGGAGTAGAGAACAAGTTACCAAATCTTCATTCAAAAGTCCATTCACCAAATAACTACTCTGTTTTAGACCTTATAGTAGGCACTTCAGTGAATACTCAGATAATTAGATATGAATCCTGCCTTAGTGATCTCAGAGAATATTATAAAAGATCTACCTAATACAGATTGTGTTAAATTCCCATCATTTAACTTCATGAGTTTCTATTATAAATTGGACTAATATTTTCTAATTGGCTAGAACTAAAAGAAAGATCCAGAAATCTTCTCACCAGTTTATTCTGGTTTTGGTCTCTATTTTACGATTCTTCCCCTCTTTCACCAATTCAGGCACTTAGGCCTTTTGCTACTCTGCAACATTCCCAGCAAAATCCTGTGTCAGGACCCTTGTGTCCACTCTTCCTACTGCCTGCAATGTTCTTCCTCTGGATATCCACATGCTTTGCTCCCCTATTTTACACATTTCTCTGTTCAAATGTTACCTCCTGACAAGACTCGCTGATTACCCCATGTAAAATGGCATTATTATCTATCTCCCCCAGTTAGGATATAAGCTTCTGAGGGCAAAGATTTTATTTTATTCAATTCTGAATCTTCAGTGTCTTGAAGAGCATCTCACACAGAGTCAAGCTCAATAGAAATTTGCTAAACCAATGAAAGAGGGAATTTTGATAAAGTATTTCTGTTTTCTAGTTTGGGTTTTTTTTTCTAAAAAAAAGGAAACTCTTCTACTTCCCTTTTATGATACCAGTTTTTAAAGAAGTTTTTGATTCTCCTAATTGGGAAACTTTGCTGAATATAATTTGATTGTGCTAAAACTCAAAACACTTTTCCTTTTCTCTGTCTGAAAATAGTAAATAAATTTTAAGAAGCATAATAGGAGGTTGATATTTTCTATGAAAATCTGAGATGGTTGGTAATCTAGTACATTGTATCATCACTTTCTTATTTTGTTATATTTATAATAATGGCTATCTCTCTAGTGACTTTTAAATGAGAGCATCACAACTGTACTAGTATATGGCAGCTTGGTGGTGACTAGCCTTGTCTAGCTACATAAATGTTTTTCTTCATACATAACCCTAGCTTTTGTTATTAAAATTTTTTTGTCTTGAAGTTATAAAATCCTGTGTGTTATGGGTCTTCATGCTTGCTTAAGAATAGCTAACACCTTGAATATTAAATCTGAGAGTGCCATTCATTTATTTCAAAATGATCTTTGTGATTCTATTTAGAAGATTAAAATGTCGTGGCCGAAAGGTTCCTTAAAGATCATCCAATTCTACACTTTAGAGATGAGGGAAATAGACACAGTGTAAGGAAGGGACAATGATTCCATTAGAGCTGAGGGACAGAGGTTGTAAATAGTTACACTGAACCAAGGATATCCACATCTTATGCAAAGGTGCTAATTATATATAAATGAGGGTCTCTCTATCAGCAACACAAAATCAAAGATGATAATGCATAGATAATTTGTTAGTCAATGGTCCACATTATTTCACTATTCCTTTGTCTTAGACAATTCAAAAATAACCTTTAAAAACTGAGAAACATTAAAAAAAAAGAATCTGCAGATTATCCTCTAATGAGGACAACTTATACCCTTAATGTAATGAAGAATACTGAATTCTATTTCATATAACTCAACTTGCACTCACTACCTCTCCAGATCTGAGGGAGGTGTACTATTGAGCCCTGAAAGAATCCAGGTCTGAAGGATGCGGGAAGTCTGTCACAGTGCCCATTGTCTCCTTCTTTTAAGGAGATAGGACCCCCAGTCAGTCAGCCACATAATGTTCCAAGGCTGAAGGAGTGTTGGTTATTTTTGATGGGATGATGGAACGCAGGGCAGAGATAGCTCACTGATGTCTGGGAGTCAGGAGATCTGGACTGCCATCCTTGTTCTACCACCAACCAGCATTGTGACCTCAGCAAGTCTTTCCCAGTATGGCTTAGAGTCACCTATTTCCAAATTAGGAGATTGGATGAGATGAGTCTCCATCTCTAGGAGGCTTCCCTGTGATTTGAGCTGTCCTGTCCATCTCCAGCATTCTTTTACCTGATGTACACAGAGCTTACTCTAGTGCCGATTTCTGAGTTCCTTACCGGGCTAATTTCTGTATTTCTGAAAGCTCCTCCATCTTCAAGTCTTTATGGGCAAGGGCAATGACACGGAAGCCTTGTGCTGTATAATTCTTCAGTTTCTGTTGGAAATCCTTGGGTACTATTAAGTGAGAGGAAAGAGGTAAATGTAAGGTCACATTGAAGGCTACCCAGCTCCTAAACAAGACTCCGGGATCCAGTCACTGTCCCTTGTTTTAAAACTCCAAAAAACACTTTAATAGAAAAACTACAGCTCCAGATAAAAGCCACAAACAACTCCATCAGTGTGCTCTTATTATCCTGACAGAAATGAATGCCAAAGATACACTGGTCATTAACTGGGTGTCAAATCCACTGGTTGGATTTAGTAAGGACAGGCCTCAGGACTGGGTCTACATGGGTAAAGTGAGGGAAACAGCTGATCCACTAGACCAGGAGTCAGCAAACTACAGGCCAAATCTGGCCCATTGCTTGTTTTTGTAAATAAAGTTTTACTGAAATGCAGCCATGCCCATTTGTTTACCATCTATGGCTGCTTTGGGGCTGAGTGGTTGAGACAGATACCATGTGGCCTGCAAAATCTAAAGTATTTTCTACCTGGCTCTTTGCAGAAAAGCTTGCTAATCCCTGCTTTAGATGACAGATGATACAATGCCAACATTTGTGTATTTTGGTATAGTAGTCATAATTAATATTAAAATATTGATAAAATTTTACGGTTTGTAGAATACCCATAAGGGTATTAGAAAGAAGCACAGCATAATGGAAGTATATAGTGTCTTAGGTAGCAAAACACCTGACTTCTAGTCTCCACTCTACTGCCAACTAGATCTCTGACTTTGGGCTTGTTAGTTCTCTCTTCTATACCTCAATTTCCCCATCCATAGAATGAGGGGGTATGGAACTCTATGTTCCCATTCAGCTCAGACTTTCTGTAGTTCTAAAATGTTCCAGGGGGTGGGGATCAAGGAAGATCTTGGCTCTCTCCATTTCTTAAATACAGGGGGAGAAATCACTGCAGTCATTATTAGCATATGTCAAAGATCTAAGGTAAGAACAATAAGAAGAATTGAAAGTGCTACCAGAAGGATGAGAGGTGAGAAGTGACAGGCCGGAATTGTGCAAGACTGTTGACTCTCAGATCTGTACCTCTGAAACAAATAATGCAATATATGTTAAGAAGAAAAAAAAAAAGAAGAAGATAGCAGGATGGGAAAAATGAAGGGGGGGAAATTGGAGGGGGAGACAAACCATGAGAGACTATGGACTCTGAGAAACAAAGTGAGGGTTCTAAAGGGGAGGGGGGTGGGGGGATGGGTTAGCCTGGTGATGGGTATTAAAGACGGAACGCTCTGCATGGAGCACTGGGTGTTATACGAGCAATGAATCATGGAACACTACATCAAAAACTAATGATGTAATGTATGGTGATTAACATAACAATAAAAAATTAAAAAAAAAAAAAGAAGAAGTGACAGGCCCAAACCTTCACAATAGAACACGGGCAATAGTCACCAGTTAAAATTTCAAGAAGATACTTGTTATCTGTGAGGGTGAAAAAAAATTAAACAGCAAAATACAGGCCATCAGTCTGTGAAAGATAGAGTGATAGAGGTAATGGGAGCTCTGAGAAAGATCAAAGTCAGAAAAAAGGAGCTGCTTCTAAGGTAAAAATGGCTCTAAGTAAAGGAAGAAGTTAAAGCAATCATCTGCCAAATCTAGAATTGTGTGCACAAGCTGATGGCTATCAGCAATCATAAGGAGAATATAGATGAAAATCAGGAGAAAAAGACCAATTTTATCCAAATGAACTCATTTGAATGCAACAATATTCTTAAAATCTGGGCTGCCGCTTAGAGGGTGCCTATGTTTATAAGACTAAAAAACAATACAAATCAGCTGAAAATCTAGCCCAGAAAGATGAAATTGCTGTGAAAATGATCAATTACATTGCTCTAATACCATCTAATTTACTCTAATCACTTTTTTTCCTAAGATATTTATCTTGTCTATATTCTCCTTCCATTGATCTGCACAAGGCCCTTACATGGTGACAGCCCCCAGAGGTGGCGGGCGGAGCGCCCCAGCTGCAAGATAAGTGCAGTATCCAGACCTGTTCCATTGGTTCCCAGTGCATGTTCCTCATTCTTACCCTTCCTGGGGACCCTTACGTCGCTTCCTGTTTTGGCTCCTGATGTTTGCTTCACATCTCCTTCCCTGATACCCCATTGTAGCTGTACTTTTCTGGATGGACCAAAGCCAGATATATACTCTCTGCCTGTCTGCCTTGAAATTCTCACCACTGCCTTATCAGATCTACTGGGCCCACTTCTCACTCACTGAGAAAATAATCACCTCCACATTCATTGATTTAGACTTGTGTATTTTATGTATTTGGGCTTCTAAAATATTTTACCTCCTGAAAGAGAACAGGGTCAATTAAATGAGTACCTGTTTCAGACTTGCAGAACTTGGCCAGCATCTCCGGGGCACCCTTCATGTAGACATGGAAGTGATCCTCCCCTGCCATCTGAGCAACCACAGACATCCTCTGCAGACTTGAGGAAAATGGAAACTGACGCAAGATGGCTATGGCTTCCACAGGACTCTGTGAGAGCACCAAGAAAGGGGAGCATAAGATGCCTGTAAGTGAGATTTATTAGCAGGTGCACACCAATAAACAGGGTTTGCTATGCAATGAACCCAGGGACATCATGAAGTGGTGTATTTGTCATAACATTGATACTTTTCTGTCTGTCTCTAAGGCGATTCTTTCTTCAAGTTGTCTGCTCTGCAAGTCCCTTCCCCATGGCTGCCTAGAGAAATCCTAATTATCTTCCAGGCAAAGTTCACAGGTCACTTCATCAGTGGTGCTTCTGTCTCTCAAAAACAGTATTCACTCCCACCTCTGGGCTCCTGCAGCTCTTTCTTCAGCCTTTATTATAGCACTTAGCACATTGTCTTGCACTTATTTGCACCTATATGGATTTTTCTACCCACTCATGTATTCCTCCAACACAGAGCCCAACACATCTAGCTCTGAATTCACTCTATCCGTTAGCACATAGCATACTGCTCTAGCATACATAGGCATGTGAGTGTTTGTTGAATAAATTAAAGGACAGATCCATGAATAAATTAAGGGATATATTTAGGAATCAAGGAATGAGCAAACTTATGGACACTGTTAGGATAAGGCAAAATAATAGGAATATAAAAATACGTGAAAGTCAGGGGAGATTTACCAGTTTAAAGGAGAAAGAGCCATCGGCTTTAAAAAAGCAAATCATACCCAACTGGCTTTTGGTCCTGGTTTTATTATGATGTTTGAATCTGACATCCCAAATTTATAGTAGTCTGCATTGCAATCTTCCATTATCTGTTTTGAAATGAAAATGTTCATAAGATTCCTTAGAGAAAAATAAGAAGAAAGAAATACCTCTCATTTGCATAGTACTCGAATCTTTTCAAAGCCCCTTTCACATATTTTCTCTTCTAGGCCAATTATCTGAATACCATCATTCTCAAATTTCTGTTGATTGATTTATATTAAGGACCTTATTGTAGAATGTCAAAAAGCCAGAAATATTGTGACTACAATTTAAGTAGTAATTGATGCAAGAAATGCTAGCTACAGGCCAATGGCTCTTCCTGAATGGTATGTCTAGTAACTGGGTGAGAGTTTAAGTAGAGATATAGTCTCCAATAGAGCTGAGCACATTAGCCCTCAGATAAGTTAGGATTGGGTCTTGAGATAAACATGGGATTATTTCTTATTCTATATCTATGTTACTAACCTAATTGCTTAGCTAGAGAATTAGCAAGTTAGTTGCTAGCAAATTAGAATGCACGTTTGAAAATAGTTTGTATTCTTTGGATGTTACAACAGTATAAATTATACTATCTGAGAAACCAATATTAACTGAAAATACAGGAAAGGCTGTCCATTGTACAAATCAGAAAATAGGAGACAACATCTGGCCTCTGCCCTATCACTCTCCTGTTTAATCTTGGGGACATTACTCCATTTCTCCAACTCTCAAATTTCTTCTGAAAAATATTCTGATATCCCTTCTAGCGCTAAAATTCTTAGAGTCTACAAGGACATTTCCCCTCCCCTTATGTTTAATGAAAGGTTCCTAACCACCAAAGGATATTTAACTGGAGACTGCTTCTCACCCAGCTTTAAACTCAGCAAATCACCTTGTACTTCCATGCTTTGTTTGGGGTGGATACAACTGTTCTTAAAGACAGTTCTTTTTACAGAGCTAATACTAAAGATGTATGTTCCCACGCAAGACCCCAACTTGTATGTTATTTGTACGAACATATCAACACCCCTCGATGGAGAAGAGGCACTGTCAGAACCAGGATCAATGTCACATATAGTAATAATGACCCTAAGCAGATCATCATTGTGTCAACTCCAGTGATGCTGCTAAGGACATTATTTGTAAGGATTACACTGATTCTCCCCCCATTAAGATCCAGGAAAGTGATTACTGCTTTGTCTTTATGTCAAAAATTTCTCCATAACAAGTGCTCGAATTTTAACTTACTGATATCAGAAATTTCCCTCTTAACCAGGTTTCCTCTTTGATTACTTTGGCTTCTAGAAAGCTACAATTTTCCCACTATACATCTTTAAATTAAACTTTGTGAGGTGTATTTCATGTCCCTGCAATCATTTGTTTTCATCCTTTCACCATTCTTTTTAAATGCTGTCCTGTAGTTGATGTATTATTGTCAGTAGCTTTAAAACATTTTTTTTTAGAACAGAATAATATAATTAATTAAATAGTGAATGAATGAGTGCCCTCCCCTTGTTGGGCACTTTACAATGCAAGCAGCCCCTGTAGTCTCATAGGCTCAATGCTTACCACAAGTCTGTGAATGAGGCATCATTATCATAAATGCACACATGAGGTAAGAGACTCAGAGTCTTGGTTCTGGATTTGGGCTCATGTAGCTAGAAAGTGGTGGAGTTGAGAAGTCTGCCCACCATGTCACAACAGCCACCAGGATGGTTTTATACCCTTCAGCTGTCATTCATACTCAGATCAGAAAACTAAACCGGTTGAACTGGGGGACCTTCACTTTGGTGTCTAGACCTATGCTATCTAACACAGTAGCTACCAGCCATTTGTGGCTATTTACATTTAAATTAATTAAATTGAATAAAATTGAAAATTCAGTTTCTCAGTTGCATAGCCACATTTCAAGTAGTTGATAGGCACATGTGTCTAGTGGCTAATATACTGAACACCACTGCTTTAGGCTACTGTTTCTCTGAGGGTGTTACGAAGATTAATTGTACCATGTTGTGGCCTGTCAAGGTTTCGTGGTCAAGTAGGTTTGGTAAATGCTGCATATCATAGTCACTCTTGAATATTCACAGTGTACCACAATATATTAAAGAAATCCTGTAGTTAAGAAATCAACTTTACTTTCTTAAAATAGCAGTTCCCCAAATTATTTGATCATGGAACACTTTCATGTTGCAATCATTAACAGAGTTCTTTGGAGCAGAGGTTGGGAAATTCAGGTAGAGTCAGACCTTCATTCACATATTGTTATAAATCTTCTCTGGGTTTCAACCAGTTAGAAAAGCTTTGCCACTCCCAGTAAGGATCTCTTCAAGTTTTTCTCATTTACTTGTACCAAGAAACCATCACCTTACCCAGGCAGTGCCCTCAAACATTTTGAGGTCCAGTGGGTCTCCCTGGATGGTCCCGTTGAGAAGGACCAGAGAGTGGCAGCTGGCCATGGCGGCACACAATGGGCTCCATGGCAAAGCCTTGCCTGAGGTAAAGCTATGGACTTCCTGAAAACTGATATAGAAGATGATTAATAAGTGAAGGTCTTCAAGAAAATCATTTTACACATTCTGCCCCTTAAATCTTACCAACATAGAGTTTTAATAATACTCAACTCTTAAGATCAAATTCTTCCATAGCTCCTCATGCCCTATATGATAAAGTCTGAGCGCTTGGATATAATCACAGAGACTTCTGTCAGATTATTGCAGCCAGGACCTATGTTGGGAGTAGTAGTGGAAGGCTCAGACTGACACTTGCAAGCTCTGCAGAGTAGGCTCTAGAAAGCCACACCCCCAGGCAAGGGGTCTCTGGGCCAGTGAAGTAGCAGGGATAGGAAGGAAGACTGCCTGCTGGTTTCTTTTTCCTTCAAGTAAAAGCTCACCTAGACTCTGAAATGTTTCTCATAACTCAGCCCTTTGCCCTTTGTCTTATTTCCTGAAACTCCTGTCATGGATTTCCAGCATCTGAATGAAGCTCACTTTCCTCTATGACAGCAGACTGGCTGGGTTTACATTCCCCTTCTCCCATCTTACAGCCAAACAGTAATTGTATCCAGTTTTCTCTATACTCCAAAATCTGACTTGGGGAAAGGGAAGGAGAGGAGGGGTGAAAGCTGCAAACATCCCATTCCCCTTTCTCTAGTCTGGCCAATAAAGGGCAAAGCAGTGCCTATCTGGACAAAAGCCTGGCCCAGCCATCTGAGCAACCAGGAGCTGAACCACATGAGTAGGGTTGAACCCAAGTATCTTCTGCAATGTCGCACTGCCTGTCTGCTGTTATCTTGTGCCAGAGTTATGCTTGGCCCCATCACTGTCTTGGGGAGCTCTTGCATGACTTCTTCAATGACAGAGCCTCAGCCATGTTTGGAGCCGAGGTGGAGTATCCAGAGCTTAAGAGCTGAGGGATTTGCACTTAGACTGAGAAGGCAGAGATCAGCCCCGCAGAGAAGGGCTGGTGTCCATTCTCTAGCTCCATTCTGGGGTAACGTCTCTGTGATTGCTCTTCCCCCTCCCATGGCCAGCTTTTAGCCCATGTTTATAAAAATTTTAGCCATATATGCTTCAAGATTCTATTTCAAGTGGTATCTCTGTCAGATAGTTTTCCCCATTCTCTTCATTTTCAAAATTAATTTCTACCATTTATCTACTATGTTATTCTAAAATCCAGGACTGTGTATTATATCAAGCAATCATTATTGTTTCTTCTTCTCTATTCCGTTATGTGTGCCTTAATAGTAGCCCTTTCCACAGCCTGTATTGTGCATAGAAGGTGGGTGCATTTGTGCCTTTTTTTCCCATGAGATGTGAGCTCCATGAGGGAGGGGACAGAGCTCTTCTTTTCTGGACTACCCGCCCCCCAACCACCACCACCACCAGCCCACTAGCCACCAGCAAGTCTTTGCAGTTTTTAATTAAGCACAGTTCCAATTTCACTCTTTGTTCCTCCGTTTTATTCATTCAATTCCTTACTCATCCAACTCATTCTATTTTTCATGTGGAGTTTGAAGGTCTACTTTCCCTGTCTGATTTTGTACTTAGAACTCATTTAATTTAACAAATTAAAATACTTGGGAACTAGTTCTAGTAAATTATTATATATATTTTATGTGACATTCACCCCTCACCACTGGGAGGATGGATCTGAGTAGCACGAAGATAGCCACACCAATCCCACATTCCATCTTCGCTAAAGTGCCTACCGGTTGTCAGCAGTTGGGACGGTCCCCCAGAGGTCCAGCCCATCTTCTGTAAGAGTGCCAGTCTGGAATAAAACAGAATTGGTGTTAACATAAGATTTAGAGCTTTTAATTATATCATGACTTAAACAAAACCCAAGCTCCCAAGAAATTAAAGTAGATCTAGTTGTCCAAAGCCCTTGTTTGTAGACATCAAATTTTAAATCAGAGAGGGGTACCTGAAGGAAAGATTCAGCAAGTGACAAATGATTCCACAAAAGCCTATGTTGATAATTAAATGACTCTAGATACTAGTCACTAAAATAATATGTGAGTATTTTGTTTTCGTGTGTTTATTGTTGTACTTGCTGTTGTTAAACAAGAGGCGTCCAATGAATGGAAATCCAATAAGAACAAGTGCGAGTTTGACTTTTCAGTTGGCACCTGCTGTCTTTCTAAAGCAGAGCTCAGAATTTTTTCTTTCTTTTCAAGACTATTTAGTTCATAGTCTGCCATCTGGTTCATAGCAATTTTCTAAAATATGGGTGATATGGTGACTGTCCAGATTGATAATGAAATGTTGATAAAGGGCTTTGAGAATTTAGAGAGAAATGAAGTGCTAATAATAAATATTCATTAATGCCCATGAATGGGTTTTATCGTTAGACCAAGAGGGAAATGGTTGGGAGATTTGTTTGCTGTATTATGAGGGAGTATTTGTCACATAATGTAACAGAGAAAGCAACATGAAACTAAGTACTATCACAGCACTTTGAATTTGCTCATTGCTTCAGAGTCCACTATTAATTACCGACCCCAGTGTCTTTATGCAAGAAGCCAACTCCCAGAGTAAGCACGAGGCCCCACTGCTTCAGCGCTGTCAAGGCTGAGCAAAGCACTACCAAGGGCTGGGGTGTATCCCTTTTCATTACTGACCCCCAGGTCTCTGTCATCATTCTTTTAAAAGTCATTTCTGTATTAGACAGTGAATTTTCTAGTCTTCTATCAAATGACATTTCTGTCATTAGAAGACATTAAGTCAGCATAATGCTTTACAATGAAGTGCTTATGATACTTCCCATTTTTACAACTGAATAAACAGGGAAGGGACATTCTCAGGTTAGAGGTGAAATGAGCAGCAGCCTCAAGGTCCAGTGGCCTGCAGGTTGAAGAGAAAGAACCAGAATCCAGCCTGCCTAGACAAATGTTACATAAATTTTGCAAAATATACAGAAAGACAAAACCCGCACTGGACTTCCAATTAAAGAATGAAGGAATCTTGGTTTCGTTAATTCATTTGGACTTCACAGAAAGCTAACACGCTTTGTGTGAGTTATTCCTTGAAGAACAACAGCAAAAATCTATTTGCTTCATTTCCCTTCTGCATTTTATAAGGGTCCCAACCTGTGTGTTTAGATTTCAAATCCTCTTGAGTTGTTCCATTTCAAAAAGCGTTAGCAGCTTAATTCAAACTGAAATGTTTTCCTGATGACCAGATTATATTTTTTAAACATCAATATTTTGAACATGAAAACAGAATTGATACTGTAGCAAAATAGAAATGGGACTGTGTTATTTATCTATGTGAAAGTGATCCTTATACAATAAAACTAGCCATGAACAGAAAGAAAACTAAATTATAGTTGCAGTTGTAAAGGGAGTAAGACAGAGAAAGCAAACTTCTTAGCATAAACACTAGCCCAGGCTTGGGTCGAACTGGATAGAAAAGAGAGAACTTGTTTTATAACAAAGCAGTGTAAACTAGAAATATATGAGAACAGATGTACTCAGAAGCCTGGTGGTGAATGTCTTCTAAATGGAAATAACAGTAGATGGGGCTTCAATTAATTGTGGGGTGCTTTATTCCAACAGCATATTGGTAGAGTTTTACAATCTGAAAGCTAGAAAGACACTTAGAGATCATTAGAGTTCAAACTTCTCTTAAAAGGGCACACAGAAACTTAGTGCCAGATCCAGGATTTGACTTCTCATTTTACTGATTCCCAATCCAGAGTTCTTTGCACTATAACATGCTGTCATCCCACTGGGGTTTGGCCAACCATGCTGAGGAGCAGTCCTTCAGTTGTTCTAGCACGTGAGAATGAGGAGGAAAAAACTTTTTATGAGATGTAAAATGAACTCCCTCTGGAAGAATTAGTTTTAGAAACAGATGTATATGTAATGAATGTGTTTTATAAAACTCCCTCTTATATTACAGGCACTAATGAGGCTTCTGGGTAAGTATTGGGAATCCCTCCCAGAAAACTTCCGAGGGGCTGTTCTCTGATCCTAAAACTAAAAGGGAGTTACTGTTAAGTTAACCCTAGTGGTTCCTGACAAGTGGGATTAAGGGCTTTCTTTGCCAAAGGAAACTCGACAAGAATAGAACAGAAATAATCTTAGAGCTGTTCAACTTTCAGCTGGGGGCCAAGACTCATCAAGTCTACTCATGGTGTCTCTCCAGCTGGTCCTCTACTCTCCATTCTTGCTCTTCTTGCCTAGGACAACTTCTATCAAATGACATTTCTGTCATTAGAAGATATTAAGTCAGCATAATGCTTTACAGTGAAGTGCTTACAATGCTTCCAATTCTTACAACTGAGTAAACAGGGAAGGGACATTCTCAGGTTAGAGGTGAAATGAGCAGCCTCAAGGTCCAGTGGCCTACAGGTTGAAAAGAAAGAACGTTCCCAGATAACCTCCTGTTATCTAGTCTTATCTCCCTTCTGTCCCTTCTCACCAATTACCCCAGATTAAATAAATAAAATACACCTATAAAAATGTCACCCATCTTCTTAAAAAATGGTAGGGCTCCCAAGATGTCTATCGACAGATGAATGGAAGAAGAAGATGTGGTATATATATACAATGGAATATTATGCAGCCATCAAAAGGAATGAGATCTTGCCATTTGCAACGACGTGGATGGAACTGGAGGATGTTATGCTGAGCGAAATAAATCAAGCAGAGAAAGACATGTATCACATGACCTCACTGATACGAGGAATTCTTAATCTCAGGAAACAAACTGAGGGTTGCTGGAGTGGGGGGTGGGGTGGGAGGGATGGGGTGGCTGGGTGATAGACACTGGGGAGGGTATGTGCTATGGTGAGCGCTGTGAAGTGCGCAAGACTGTTGAATCACAGATCTGTAACTCTGAAACAAATAATGCAATATATGTTAAGAAAAAAAAAAGAAGAAGAAGAAGATAGCAGAAGGGGAAGAATGAAGGGGGGGAAATTGGAGGGGGAGACGAACCATGAGAGACTATGAACCCTGAGAAACAAACTGAGGGTTCTAGAAGGGAGGGGGGTGGGAGGATGGGTTAGCCTGGTGATGGGTATTAAAGAGGGCACATTCTGCATGGAGCACTGGGTGTTATGCACAAACAATGAATCATGGAACACTACATCAAAAACTAATGATGTAATGTATGGTGATTAACATAACAATAAAAATTTTTTTTTAAATGGTAGGGCTCCCATTCTCCTTCACAACAAGTCTCCACTCCTTAGCTTGGCATGTCAGGCCCTGAACAATTGGGCTCGCTCCTCTCTTCAGCTACATCCCCTACGGGACAGCCCCCAAACTAGCCACACCCCACTGTCCTCTGTCCCCCATATGCCACAGGCCCTGACATCCTTGTGCTTCTGATTTGCTTGCCTCTGAGCCCAGGGCCCATTCTGTCTAACAACCAAAGTCATAGCTCAAAAGTGACCTCCCACCCGTGGCAGGTAACTTCACCTCAATGCTTTGTTCATACCTCTTTCAGCATGCATTTCACTGCATTATCATTGTCTACACTTCTGTTTTACCTGCTTCCTCAGCTAAGTCATGAGCTTCTGCAGAGCAAGGAACATCTCATTAATGGAGCTCTTGGCCCATGTAGATAAGTTAAAAGGTGGCAAAGCCTTTATCAACTATTCAAATTGAATGAAGTGAAGACATGGAGGAACCCACTGCGTTATAGCAGTTAAATTGGCCTGCCCAAGTGGAGGGCAGGATCTGAATAGCAGGTGACTGAGGCTGAGGTCCCTGCAAGTCTCCCATAGAAGAGGCACAGGGGGGTCTCAGGACCTGTCCCAGACTAGCAATCCTCTGCATTTGGACATACTTCTCCCCTGCCACTTCCAGGACCCTAAGCACAGGGACACATTTGCTAGTCTGGAGTTTTACTACCCTGGGGATCAAAGAAGTGAGGGACTGAGTGCATAAACACAGCCATGGTCCCCTCCCTTCCTTTCCTTAAAAGAAGCAGAGGAGAAGAAGGGAATATGTTCAATTAAGCACAGGACAAAGCACTTCAGGAAACAGAAATGTTCCTCAGATTTTTTTGCCTGAAAAAGCCAGTCATAGAAGTTATTATAATAAGAGATTGCTTTAAAACCCAATACAGGCACAAAAATATTAAATTTCATAGGAAAGGAATTCATGGTGTGATATCTAAACCACTTCCTTAGGACTCAGTAGAGTGGGCTTCTAGAACATGGTCTCACGCTAGCTCACTGTGTGACCTTCTCTGGTCTCAGCGTTCCCATCTGCAAAATGAGCACAGTGAGCCAGGCATTCTTGGAGGCCTTTTCCAGCTCTGCTGTATGTTGAAATCATTAACCTCCAACCTGGAAAGTTTAAATCATACTTTGTCAAAGCACACGAGGTTTATTTGCCCACACATATTGATTCTCTGTGGGGAGATACAGAAGATTTTCTTTCTCTTCAGCCTCTTTTGTGCATACACGATGCCTGTGGTCAGGGCAGCTGGCAGCACCGGAGGTACAGTTACGGTGAAGAGGAGCAGGGCCATGGCTGTAGTATCTCTTGAAGAAACCTGGGGAGGGAGGAACATACGGGTTAGCCCAGCAGAGCAGTCTGGTACCTTTTCTGGCACTATCTCCTGTAATAGCACAGGAGCTCTAGAAACTCAGAGTATTCAAAGTGAGCTGGCTCTTGGGGGGGTTGAGAGTTCTCTTGGGTGTGTCTAAGGAATGGACAAGTTGTCTCCCACTGACAACAAAGGAGACTCTGAAGCCTACTGGATGTCCACTCTGCCCTTTCCGGACTGTTTCTCTTCACTTAGCATTCCCTTCACCCAGAGTGCCATCCCTCCTCTGCTCATCGTAACACACCCTCTGGACTCCCCAGGCATGGAGACCATCTTGGAGTTGTAACATTTCACACGCTGGCTTGACGGTTGGGTTTTAAATCTCCCTCAATAGCTTCCAAACTCCTTTGGGTGCAGCAGCTGTGGCTTATACATCTTTGAAGTCATTTTCAAGTTCATCTTATTCATCTCTAGATAGAGCCTAGCACAGTTTCTGACACAGAGGAGGTACCCAGCACACATATGAAATGAATGGTGACCTGATAAAAATGATGACCAAGATTCTGCTAAGATCTCAACATGTATTATCTGCTATAGGAAAGTCAATAGTAAAAATAGCTTGCTCTCACTGCTCATGTTCTGGGGTGGGCCTTGTGTTAGGCTACATACATTATTTAGTGACTTTCCATAAAAACCTTATGATGTAAATACTGTTATTTTTTCTATTTAACAGATGAAGAAACCGAGGCTTAAAATATTAAATAACTTCCTCAAGCCACCTGCTAGTTAAATGGTGAGGATCTGAACCCTAGTCTGTCCCACTCCAGGGTACAAATATGTGACCATTGTGTTATATTATCAAGCCAGTTCACATGGAGTCAAGATCCTAGTCAGGTCTGCAGAAATTCACATGACTGATAAAGAGCGGAGGCAAGGTCAAATCACAGGGTGGCTTGTTTTATTTTTCAAATGCTCTAGATACTATGCTTTACCCTAGATTTTTATGAAATCAACCATAATTTTAGCATAAAGTCCTCTTCTGACTACTGGAAACACAGATCCAATGTCAGGAACAATGCCTGCTAGATACATCATTGATCCAAACTCAGTTTATTACAAAATCCATCATTCCTTGATTTTTCCAACTACAGCCACAGAGTGTTGACCCTGAGGACTCAGTCCTTTCAAGTCCTGAGCCAGTACAGATAGAGGTAGCCAACAGGGCCACAGGTTATGACCCACAAGGGGATGGGGTTTGTGATTAGTGTTGCTACTTGGTGTATATTGGATGTTGAGTCCCACTCAGGAAACTTTCATTCCCAATCACTGCAGGGGCTTCTTAGTCCACACAAGAGAGCTTTTTGCTTGTTTTCCTGTTCAACACTCCTGCTCCCCATATAAAACTGGCACATTGCGTCAAGTTCCAGCCCTACTGGCTTTAACAGTCTGCAGAGCTCTTCCCAGGGTCCATTCTACTGGTGCCAGTATTCCATGGCTTCCTTTGCCTGACCTAGAAATGCTCCCTGGGGGCTTTATCAGACTGTAATGACTACCCGGAGTACAAGTGTGAGCATGCACATTGCCTGGAAATTCTTGTGACTGCCCAGTAATATATACCCCTCTCCCCAATAACACACACATAGAATGCACTAAAGCTACCAATGTGGGCATTGTAATTAGGTCACCCATACCCAGTTTCATATCTGTGTTTGGACCTTTTTATTCACAGTTTTTTCTTCTTCCCTATGAGCCACATTGCTAATATCCTAATATGTCCTTTTTTTATTCTGTTATGTTAATCCCCATACATTACATCATTAGTTTTTGATGTAGTGTTCCATGATTCATTGTTTGCATATAACACCCAGGGCTCCATGCAGAACGTGCCCTCTTTAATACCCTTCCCCGGGTTACCCCTTCCCCCCTGCCCCTCCCCTCTAAAACCCTCAGTTTGTTTTTCAGAGTCCATCGTCTCTCATGGTTCGTCTCCCCTTCTGATTCCCCCCTTCATTCTTCCCCTCCTGATATCTTTTTTTTTTTAACATATAATGTATTATTTGTTTCAGAGGTACAGATCTGTGAATCAATAGTCTTGCACAATTTACAGTGCTCACCATAGCACATACCCTCCCCAATGTCTATCACCCAGTCACCCCATCCCTCCTACCCCCCCCACTCCAGCAACCCTCCGTTTGTTTCCTGAGATTAAGAATTCCTCATATCAGTGAGATCATATGATACACGTCTTTCTCTGATTGACTTATTTCGCTCAGCATAATACCCTCTAGTTCCATCCATGTCATTGCAAATGGCAAGATCTCATTCTTTCTGATGGCTGCATAATATTCCATTGTATATATATACCACATCTTCTTTATCCATTCATCTGTCGATGGACATCTTGGCTCTTTCCATAGTTTGACTATTGTGGACATTGCTGCTATAAACATCGGGGTGCATGTACCCCTTTGGATCCCTACATTTGTATCTTTGGGGTAAATACCCAGTAGTGCAATTGCTGGATGGTAGCTCTTTTTTCAACTTTTTGAGGAACTTCCATACTGTTTTCCAGAGTGGCTGCACCAACTTGCATTCCCACCAACAGTGTAGGAGGGTTCCCCTTTCTCGGCATCCCCATCAACATCTGTCATTTCCTGACTTGTTAATTTTAGCCATTCTGCCTGGTGTGAGGTGATATCTCCTTGAGGTTTTGATTTGGATTTCCCTGATGCTGAGCAATGTTGAGCACTTTTTCATGTGTTTGTTGGCCGTTTGGATGTCTTCTTTGGAAAAATGTCTGTTCATGTCTTCTGCCCATTTCTTGATTGGATCATTTGTTCTTTGGGTGTTGAGTTTAAGAAGTTCTTTATAGATTTTGGATACTAGCCCTTTATCTGCTATGTCATTTGCAAATATCTTCTCCCATTCTGTCCTAATATGTCTTACAGAAGAGACTGCATGGTTTACCACAGAATCAGATGCTCAGGACCAGAGAGGACTTCAGAGGTCATTTGTGACAACCCTTCTCTGTCCAGCCAATATAACTATTAAGAGGGACATTCAAATGAAACCAGACACCATGAAGCTTAAAAGGAAGTGTGGATCCATGCAGCATACATTTCTGTAAAAGTGGACATTTATAATTTTTATATATATTTTTTAAGAGAAAGAGGGGAGAAGGAAAGGGGGAGGGGCAGAGGGAGAGAGAGAATCTCCAGCGCTGAGTGTGGAGCCTGACACAGGGCTTGATCTTACAACCCTGAGATCATGACCTGACCTGAAATCAGGAGTCGGATGCTTAACTGACTAAGCCACCCAGTCACCCCTGTAAAAATGGACATTTAATTCCATTTCAGAACCTAACAGAACACAGAGCAATACATTGCCTAAATGGTCTGTTGGGTATGCCTTGGACAATGTACACACTCAAATATTTCAACATTCTCAAATAATCCAAATTTCTAGGCATGGAATTCAAGATTCCCTTCAATGTAACCTATTTCTACCTTGCTAGGCTTAATGTCTTAATTGCTTACTGGTTCCAGAAGACCCATCTGCATTTCTTGCTTTGTCCTTTGCTCACTCTAATTAGTATGCCCTTTCTGCTCTCTGACCTGATTGACTAAGTCCTCTCCATCCTATCAGACTTGAGAAACATGTATTTCCTCTGAAGCTATTTGGCTTGGGTATTGCAAATGCCGCACACACAGTAACCTCTCATTCCCATCCAAGTGGTGAAAGGACTGTGAACTTTGCAACTTTTCGTAGCTGTGTCATCCAATACAATTTTCACTAACCACATATGGGTACTTAAATTGAAATCAATCAAACAATCAAATTAGTTAAATTAAATTATGTTAATTAAAAATAATTAAAATGAAGTAAAATTGAAAGTTCATTTCCTCAGTCACACTAGCCACAGTTCAAGCATTCAATAAGCACATGTGGTTAAGGGCTACCAAATTGAACAGTGTAGGTATAGAATAGTTTCATCATCTAAGAAAGGTCCATTGGACAGCGCTGACTCACAGAATGATGGGGTTAAAAGGTAACCTTATCCAACCCTTTTAAGTTAGGTCAAGTTCCTTGAGAAAGCTATGCTATTAAAAAACTTTACCCCCAATACTTACTCCATGGTACATATATACACCAAGAGCATAGAAGAAACCCACAACTCCAAGGCAGGCCAGGAACACTATAAACTTGAAGGCATCGTTGTACAGTTTGAAGTTCAGAGGCCGAGGGTAGAGGATGGATCTTATCAAGTCCCCTTTGGCGGTATTGTAACCTACATGAAGATAATTGCAGGTGGAGTAAGGTTCTTTAATACAGTTTTCCCCAAACCCAAAATGGTTTGCATCAAATTAAGGATTCGTTAATAGTGTCATTTGAATATGGAATGAAAACACCACTGTTAACAGTATATTTATATTTATTATTCTTACAAGTTGCCAGCAACAATAAATGGCATTCATTTAGCCCTGCTCAATTTCTCTTGCTCTGGGAGTCAGTGCTTCAGTGGCTCACACAGTGCAGCTCCTCATTCATGCATGAGACTGGGGAAAAGAAGACTAAGGAACCAACAGATGCAGTCACCAGAGAAGATGAGCTGCTGAGAGAAGAAGACTTTAAAGTTCAAATATGTGTTGAAAATAAAAGAAAATTAAGAGAAAAGGAAAGCACAAAACAAGTAATTTCTTAAATATATGTGCCTTTCATCATGTCATTTGTATGCTCAAAAACCTTCCAGAGCCTCCATTTTTTATAATAAAGTTCAAATTTCTAAGCATGGCATTCCAAGTCCCATCAATCTGGTGGACTCTTATCTTGCTAGACTTTTAACTAGCTCTCCTCTCAGAAGACCCCAGTGCATTCTTTCTTTTGTGTTTTGCAGAAACAGATTAGCATGTCTTTTCAGCTCTCTGATAGGATTGGCTAAATCCTTCCCATCCTATCAGGGTTGGCTCAAAATGCCACCTCATCAAAGAAATATTTCCAGAATTCTACTCCCACACTTCATATCAAAAATAATTTCTCCCCTTCTTTGGAGTCCCTATAACATTTAATCACATGACATCTATCTCTGCTCTCCTGCACAAGACTACAATCTTCTTTAAGGTCAAGGAGTATCTCACAATTATTTTTTCCTTTAGCCCTCAGGGCATAGCACTTCGTAGCTACTCATTATCTAAGTTATTGGCAAAAAAAATTGACTACTAGATATAAGTCACTATTGTTAAGTATGAAACATGCCTTAATCCCACTGCTTGGTGAATATCTTGTCTCTTCAAACATGGCTTTGCAGGCTTTGGAGAAAAGGAGCAGAGCTTTCTCTAACCTGTTGCCTCAGCATTTTATAAGCTCAGATCAGGTGGTTTCCATGATTACCATCCATTAGCTCCTGCTTACCAGCTGGCTGAGAGATGTTCTCATGCCCACTGACTACTTTGAAACAAAACTTGATATTTTTAATTAAAAAAAAAATCAGGTAGAACAATTGAATCATAGACTAACTAAAGCATAGAGACAACAAAGTGCAAGGTATGTTTTTGTGAATTTGTGCATATGTGGGCTGGCAGAAACACAGGTGAATACAACAAGCTAGGACCAGGTCATGGAAAGTGTTGGCTGCGTCATGTCATGTGGAAGATTGGGCGTAATATTAATAGTTTTGAAAAGTTTTTGAGCATAGTGTGCATAAACTGCTTCAAAATATGTTTTAGAAATATGACTTGGTGACAGATCAAGGGATAAACAGAACAAAAGACAAGACAAAGTATTTCAGGCAAAAGCTGAAAGGGAACAGTCAAAAGAATATTTCTGTTGTAATAGACAGGAGATGATGAAGGGCCTAGACAAAACACCAACTGTGGGGATGAAGGAGGGGGAGACAGGACTCGGGAGGTATTTGTAGAATCAACAGGATGTGGTGCCCTACTTGGTAAGGGAGAAAGTGAAGAGTTAAAGGTGATGTGGAGAGACTGGCTAGATGGTAATGCTGTCAACAGAAAGAGGAGGATGAGTCCTTTAGATGCCTTGACTTTGAAGTGCCTTGACTTTGAAGTTTGAACCCAAGTGGAGATACCCAGCAGGGATCTTGAAATAATAGCCCAGCAAGCAGCACTTTGAAAGGAAAAAGTCCTCAAGCAACAATGGTTGGAACTGTTTTCCTGGTAATTACTTAGAGTGGGTGTAGAGGGAAAAGAAAAGAAGCCTGTGGTCATAAAAAAAACAAAACAAAAACAAACAAACCTACAAGAACATAGTCTTGCCTTTGAGGAAGTGTATTTCATCTCTCTATATGCTTCATCATAGACAAGAATTTCAGTTGGAAATGGTGGCAACTTAGAATAATAAGGGTCCGACTAGAAATGAGTATGGTTGTTACTACCAGAATATAGCAAACTTCATATTCCTAAACAAAATTTTCCCAATCCAACTCCCCCACCTCTAATCATGGACTAAATTTACAAAAGTGGAATCTACCAACCTGTTTGCAAGACAACTGCTCTCACTGGCCCCTTCCCAGACGGCTTGACCTGGATAACTTCCGTCCCGCAGAAAAGGACATGTTTCCGATAATCTTCCAAGCTGTGGGATTTCCAAGCAATGGTGTTGTCCACATGGGGCAATGGTGTCTTCATGACAGGTATACTTTCTCCTAAAGAAGATTGTCTTTTGTTGATTCCATGTGACCTCAGGTAGTCATTTAGAGCTGGTACTTTCCAGTTTCAAAAAAGTATACAAACCACAGCTATTCAGGTCTTACTGCTCATCCCCTGAGTCAGATGACTTCTCAGGGATGCTGGTGATGCAAGCAGTGGAATATTTGGTTACATTTCAGATATTTATTTAAAGTCCACCTATATTTTCCATACCTGGTCTGCATGGTTTGCTGTTATAATTTAAAAAGCAGGCCATTTTAGCAAAGAGAATTGTCACTTAAATGTCCCCCCAAGTATTCTTTAAGCCCAGATCTATGCTAGGCAATGAAGGAGCTATAAATTATGTGTAAAGCAATTATTACTTCCCTTTCATTTACTTGTTTATCTGTACATTCATCCATTCATTCAACAAATATTTTTAAGTGCTTATTCTGTGCCAGGCACTGCTCTAGGTGCTGAGAATATAATAATGAAGAAGACAGACAGAAATCCTGCCTTCAGAGGCCCAGGGGCCAAGCCACTAAAGAGTAGTAAATAATTAATGAAAATACAATAAGTATTTTGGAAGTAGTACCAGGTGATCTGAAGATCTAGCCCAAACAGAGGACCAGGAAAGAGGTCCTGGACAATTAACAAATGACAACTCAAAAGGAAATGAGGCCAACTAGATCAAGGAGAAGAGGGAAGTGTTCTTGGAAGAAATGAAAGCAAGAGAATGCTCTGCCCTGGGCACTAAAGATGGTTGAGGGTGTTTGGGACATTGAGTGTGAAGGTAGAGGTAAAGAGTCCTAGAAGTACAGAGATGAATGAGAAATTATGCCCTCATAAAATCTAAAAAATATTTTTCATGATCTTTTTGGAGGGTGTAGTGAAAAACAGAAACCAATATAACAGGATATCTCTTTTTTCTTTCTGGATGATCTCAGCTCTATTCTCATTAATTAACACTTCTTAATAAGTGGAACTGTTTTCTTGGTTCAATAACATCTATATTCAATAACATCTATATTCATCTTCCCTCTCTCCTGTGTTCTTGTTCTATATTTCCCAATGGTGGGCTGTTCATCCCAACTTGGATATCCCACTAGCATCCCCAAGTCACCATATCACATTGTCACCTGTGCTTCTGACTAATAAATCTGACGTTCCCACAAACCCCTTCTAGGGTTCAATTAATTTGCTAGAGTGGCTCACAGAACTCAGTGAAATACTTACATTTACTAATTTGTTAAAGGATATGATAAAGGATACAGATAAATAGCCAGATGAAGAGATACAGAGGATGAGGTTTGGAAGGGTCCTGAGTGCAAACTCTTGCTAGATTTTCAAAGCCACCATAAACTGAGCATCACTGGCTCTTTCTCCTACACATTCCAGCTAAACTAGGCCACTTGCATATCCTATTACTGACTGCCATTCTTTGCCGGTACTACTCCTCTACTTTTCCTGATGGCAGGAAGACAGGTTATTTAAGATACAAAGAAAATTAGCTCAGAGTTCAAAAGGATACATTTCAGAGACAAAATAAAAATGCTAATAACACTTCCTGGCTCCTAGATTTAAAAAGCACTAGAATGAATTTAAAATTCCATCAGTCTTTTGCTAAATGTTCAATTAGCAAAATAACATGTCATATTTCTAATTTGGATATAGTATTATATTGATTATAGTTACACAAATTCAGGTTCTATCTCTCCTCAGTAATAACTGAGGGCAAGGACTTTGACATGTATAACTTTTTATACTGCTCATTTTCCTTGCTGATATGTAATAGGTTCAAAAGACATATTTTTGCTCAATGCCTGGGTGAACTGAATAAAAACAATTACCCAGGTTTTTCTATGATTAGTTTTTCAAAACTAGTTTTCTACATGGTGCATTTTTAACATCCTAAGGTACAAGAAGCTATACAATTTTTATTAGTGATCTTGAATATTCTCAGGAATTCCTTTAGCCAAGCATTGTCCCTTCTCATTCTCTTTAAAACAATTATGATATTTATCCTTTGTTTGGATTTACCAGTTGTGTTCTAAGTGGGCTTTGGAAAAGGGATAGAACCTTTTCGACAAATCTCCAATCGCTGTATCCCCATTGTTTTTGAAATCAGTCTTTGTAAAAGCAGACACTTAGAGATAACTTCTAATGTTGTTCTGCTTTTGAATCACAGAATATTAATCCACAATATATTCTTAAGCTAATATTAGTGGATAGGTTCTGAACACACAACCCACAGTATTGGTGGCAGGCAGGCATTCAATCAACCAGAGATAGAAGTCATTTGGAGATAATGTTCCAAAGATAACATTCAAATCAGATATGATTTTACACAGAAATGACTTTCAAGTCTCTTTTACGCTATCCACATAATAATAAGGAATCTCGTTCTTGGCCTTTTTCGGAATCCCAAGAAAGAGTGATTTGCCTACAAATGTTTGGAGGTCTAAATAGGCTGGAGAGTGTTTTAGAAGGAAGAACACTCATCATCAACTTCCGCTGGCTTCCGGGACCTGGAAGTCCTGGCTGTTGTGAAGTGGGATTCTGTCCTTAATCCCCAGTGAGCCAATATCTCCACAGGAAATGCCATGTTCTTGTTTGTTTATATTTGGGGGGCCATCCGACTGTAAGCTGTTTGAGGGTAGTGGCCATCTCTCATTTGTCTTGTGACTCCAGCACACAGCAGAGTGCCTGGAACAGAGTAGGCATTTCTGAACCTTTATTGAATAAATGGGTAGACGAATGAATAAATGAAAGACAAGGAGAAGTGAGAGGCAGGAGGAAAGGGAAAAGGAAGAGAGATAAGATCAGACCTAGCAACTCATCACAAGCTTGTCTGACAGGATGCAGATGTGAAATCACCACTTCAGGAAATTCCTGGATGAGTAAGGAAACATTGTAGAAGTTTGTGAAAACAGAGCAAAAGGCACCAGTTAGCCTCCTTTTGTAGGGAGACAGGCCTGAGACATTTGCCAAGCCCAGAGTGGAGTGGGGGCCACAGACAAGAGAGCTACCCTAGCCCAGACCCACCTCCCCAGTGCCTTGCACAACCTCTAGTAGCCAGACTTGAGTCAGGGGACCCACCAACTGATGGGAACGACTGTCTGACTTATGCCACTGCTTACTCTCAAGGATGGCAATATTTGGAGCAAAAATAAAAACTAAGTGTAGTTACAAAATTAAATTTCTTGCATAGTTGAACTTATGGCAATAGGATGAGGCTAAGGAAATGATGAGGAGCAAGATCCTACAATGGGCATGTGCTGTGGGTGGGACTGCCCAGTTGAGAGAAAAAGATGACGAGGCACATGAAATGAGAGCTTTACCCCTCTTAGAATCCTCCTCCTCCTCACTCCTGTGGTCCCTCCTTTCTGGAAGTAAAAGCCACCTATGACCCTGATACTTGCTAGCTGACCAGTCTGGTCTCTTTTCACCTGGGTTTCTTCATCTGGAGGTTGGGTAATATAATAGCTCTTCATTTGTTTTACGCTATGACGAAATGAGATATAAAAGTTATTTATAAAATGTAAATTGCTCTAGAGATGCTAAGAGTATTTGCTATTTTTCTTCTAAATAAAGACATAAATAAAGACTTCTATATATGAAAAGGACTGGTTTGCACATGGGAAAAAAAAAACCTGAGTCACATTTGTGGACAAATGTTCTAGAAAGACATAGGCAGTTTCAGGAATCAAAGCATAATCTGAGTGTTCAATCAGGATCATTTTTACAAGTAGTGTATGTGAGCGGGTAAATCTATGTAGGCTGTGTAATAATGTATTTAAAGCATGGTGGTAATTATATCTTTCTAAAGAAAATAATAAGAAAGAAATATATGTATTTCTGTTTTATGTGTCTGTCTCTAAAGTTGACATTTATCAGTACTTAGGTTTCATAGATATTTTTGCTGCTGACCTTATTTTTCCAGAAACAGACCTAAGAAAAGCCACTTACTTCTTAAGGTCATTTTAGGTCAATTTTGCACATTGTGGAAAAGCAGCATTGTTTGCCCTCTCTACTTCTCTGGAACTCTCTGAGTTTTTCTAGAATCAAGGCAAGAACCGTGCACCCAAGTCAGTAGACCCAGGGGAGTAAATGTGATCAGTCCTCCCCTTTCTCCTCACAGCCATCCTCTCTTGCCAACGAGTGAAGCCATTCTTCACTGGCAAGCTGCTATAAATGTGAGAGGTTGCTGCCTCGGAGTGAGGAGGACAGTTTTTTGGGGGCTTGAGTTTTGTGCATCAGGTACTATGGCAACATTCCGGATAAAGGATATGATCAGTATGCAAATCCTCATCGTTATCATTATAAGGCAGTTAGATTTCAACACACTAAAGGGGTATTTTGTAATTATACCAAGCATATTTATGTTTGCTACATTTTCCTGTCTCAATTTTAAATTAAGCAGACCCATTTTTAATGTGAAATCTGCTTGTGTTGAACAATTTAGGAATCGATAATGATTCTCTTTACATTTAGGTGACATTAAAAAGTTGTGTGTGTGTGTGTGTGTGTGTGCGTGCGCGTGTGTGTGTATTTTCCTGTCTTTAGCAACTTGGAAACAGAAAAATACAACAATTTGTAAGCACAAAAGACAAATATTTTCTATTTTTGTGTACTGTTGTGTCTTCTTCTCTTATTATGATATCCTGTGTATTTTGGGGTTTTTTGACTAAAGAATATTTTATACTTAGTGCCTTGCTAATTACACAAATTCAAATGAACTTTACAAAGTACAAATAAGAACAAGAATAACAGTTCAAACCATTATAAGAAAACTGGCTTTCTGCTCAGTAAGATCAACTGGAAACACAATTCTAAAGGACAGAACTGTAATATGGCCTTTCCTTCAAGGTTCAATTCAATCTCCTTCCCAGGAAATCTGGGGCTCAGTTTTCCATCTACAGAGAGCAGGGTTGGATAGAATCTCTGCACCTTGCCAATTGTGAAAGCTAGTGGTTTCTGTTTGTGTTGTGTTTGGATAGGTGTTTATGTTTATGAAGATACTGTGCATCAAGCAGTCTTATGCATTCACCTTCCTCTGAACCAAAGCACCCGATTTACCCCACCCATCAGGACATGAACCAATCACATGTATTAGACTTTTCTTCTATTTATAAATTTTGTATTTATTGTCATTTGATTCTTAAAATATTAAATATTTCCTAATTGCATATATGAATTCTCCATCTGCGTGAATAGCCTGGCTGTGTCTCCCTCACTTATATCCCCATATCTTAATATCAGGCTGGTATAAAGCAGGTAAGGATGTGTTGATCTGCTTTGCTAACTCTTGTCTTAGGTGTTGGATAGGAAAGAAGAAGCTCCATGACAACAGCCTACCTGTGAGCATGCCTTCATTCACCACACAGCTTCCATCAATCAGAATAGCATCACATGGCAATGAAAATTTTCCTGGAAGAATAAGAGTATCTCCAGGAACCAAGAGACGGGATTCCAGCTCCTGCAAACCTATACAACAACAAAGTTTCCATGACTGGCTGATCTTTTCCTGTTTTTACTGAAAAATGCAAATGGCTGAGAACTCTTAACCAACCAAGGACTGCCCTACACATTCACCTGTTCCAGCTCCTTTCTGCTCATTTGCAAAATCACAGAAACCAGGATTAGGGATTTGATTCCAGGGCCATAGCAAAAGATTAGCAGAGCAACAAGATCCCATCTCGATCTTAGTACTTAGGACAGTGCTCTGCCCACAGGAGATACTCAAGGGTATCAGTCATCTGAGAGGTTCCCCTTTACTGCTGCTTACTTGCTGGGGCTGGGCTCCTGACCCCCTGTGGCCCACTCTGTCTTTGGATTGGGGTCTAGTGTAAACCATTCAGACGGCGTCTGCTGCCCGGGGGTGCAGTTCCTCACTCCTTACAAAGAGCCATGGCCACCCTACTCCAGGCTAAGTCCAGAGTAAAATGCCAAATGTCCAGCCAGCCATTTACAAGAATTATTCATGACTCTATTCTGGATAACAGATTGAAATGTTATGATTCTGGGTCTGTTTGGGATGGTTAGTAGGGGAAATCAAAAAGCCTTAAGAAGGCTTACCCAGTAACATTCAAATGAGTGAAGTATAGAAAGCAGAGGGAACTGGAAGCAACACAGACACTGGGTGGAAGTGGTTCAATCAGGATGAGGCATGCAAGGTACCCAGGGTACAAAATTCAGTGAGATGTTCACCTTCTGGGTCCTGCAAATGCAAGCAAACTTTTGCATGATCTCCTCATTAAGTTTTGCATCTTAGAAGCCTTATTTGCCTCAATTTAGCCCCAGTCCTGGATTTAATCAGAGAAGACTTTTTTCCTCGACTAATAATCAGTAACAAATGAGACTGATTCCACCCTGAAGCTGGCAGAACATATCACTTACCTGTGCCCTTTATGATGACTGTAACCTGGACTTTGTTGTGATCCTCCACAAGGTTGTGCAGCTTAACTGATTGCTGCCAATTCAAAGTCAACGTTTAAATATCCGGTAGTCCATAACTCGAAAACCACATGATCTCAATACAGTAAATAAAGTCAACATTTAAATATCCGGTAGTCCATAACTCGAAAACCACATCATCTCAATACAGTAAATACAGAGCCTGCCATCACAGCCAAAGCGACTGTGGGCAAAGACTCAAGTTCTACTTTTGATGCTTCTGCTTCCCTGCCCCGACCCCTATCCTAGCCAACCTCCAAGCTGTAGCAACAAATATGCTAATTAGCTTAATACTATTTCAATGCCAGGAAACATAATGCACAGCCACCATGCCCAAGGACCAACACTAAGGCCGCGAGGCTGCACTTCTTGAGGGCGCACGATGAAGCAGGGAAAGAACAACAAGACCATGAACAGGTCACTTTCCCTCTCGGTACCTGTTTCCCTGTCTATAAAACAGCAAAGCTGAATGTGATCTTTCCATTGCAAGAGCCTGGGAATATTTGGGTTGTGTTTTGATTTTATGTGGAACAACCATCGCCTCCTTTATGAACTGGTGGATTTTCATCTTGGGGAAGTCTGCAGACTGGAGCCACACTGCTCCATTTGGAAGCCTGCTGCTTCCACTTAGGCATTATTCAGCCTGTTTAACTCCCTTTTCCTAATCTGAAAGTGGAGATAATAGCAGTATCTGTTTCAGACGGCTTTTAAAATTTAGTTAGTGCTTATCTTAGTTATTCCTTTGGCTAGTACTCATTACCATGGTAAGAGCTCAATAAATGTTAATGATCAATAAGAAAGTTGTTGCTGGAAAAACAATTGTCTAAGTGCATCAGCTGGGAAGATTCGCTTGGGGTAGAATTCATTGAGATATGATCCTGTGCAAAGTGGAGGAAATGGAAGCAGCCTAGAGAAGTGGAGGCAGAGTCTCCTGGGAAAACTCCGGAGACAGGAAGGCAGAGGTGAGAGGACATGTGGTCCACACAATTCCCCGTATCGACTATAGGGGGCGCCATGGGTTGGGGCATTCCCGGAAGGCACTGCCCCTTCAGTAGGGATGTCAGTTACTTGGATACTTCTAAGTAGAAGAGATCTAAATACTGTCAACAGTACTGAAACACAGCCTAACCTAACTCAAGTATAAAACTTTTCCTTTCAGATGTTAGGGTAAATTGTTTTTATCTGTCCTATTGATTTTTAGCCAATGGTAACTAATGTCACCAGACTAAGGCAAGCATTACACACAATTATGTAACTTTCCTCTTGAGAAAAAAAAAAAAAAACAACTTTCCTCTTGAGAAATAATAATAAATTCCGTGTTTTTGTTTATGCAAAACAAATTATTGTTTACTTCAGCTTTTTTTTTTTATTCTTATGTTAATCCCCATACATTACATCATTAGTTCTAGATGAAGTGTTCCATGATTCATTGTTCGTGCACAAC